AGAGAGAACACTCCCTTCTACTGGTTCACTCCCAAAATGCCCACAATAACTCAGACTGGGTCAGGCAGCCAGGAACTTAACCCAGGTCCCTCACATGGGTGGCAGGGACCCAACTACTTGAGCCGCTATCACTGTCTCCCAGGGTTTGCATTGGCAGGAAGCTGGAATCAAGAACCAGAGCTGGGGATTAAACCCAGGCACCCTGAAGTGGGACATGACTGTCTTACACTTTTAGGTTAAACAGTTTAAGACACCAGTCCAGTGATGTCTTTGGACGGAGCGTTTTCAGCTGATGTGGGTTTGCATCCTACTACAGGTGCATCCACATCTTCTCGCTGTATCTCGCTCCAAGAAAGGGAGCTGAAATGCAGACAGACCCAGCGAAATAGCTCCAATATGATTCTCCTCTGGGTATTCTTAGAATTGCAGACTTGGGCCATCTTTAAAAATGTCATATGTTCTCCCTGATCAGTGACAACTAACTGAGCACCAAAGGGGAAACCTGTTGAAGTGAAATGGACACTATGAGAAGCAGTGACTTGATCAGCCCTTGTCCTGACTGTTGATGTACAATTTAATACTTTATCCCTTTTAGTATTTTTTTGTTCTAGTACTGTGGGTTGAACTCTGTAATTAACACACAAATATTCTTAGGTGTTTAAATTTAACGGAAAAGTAATTCCTGTTAAATATAAGAGTAGGAATAAGAGAGGGAGGTGATGTACAATTTGGGACATGCTCAATCGGACTTGTCCCAAATGGTGAAGTTAGAAATGTGTCAGGGGATTCCAATACAATCCCATCAAGGTTGCATGTACCAATGCCATCTCACTAGTCCAAGTGATCAATTTCAGTTCACAATTGATCACACTGATAGGTCTAAGAGTCAAAGGGATCACACAAACAAGACCAGTGTCTGCTAATACTAACTGATAGAATAAAAAAGGGAGAGAATGATCCAACATGGGAAGCGAGATACACAGCAGACTCAGAATGGCAGATGTCCTAAACAGCACTCTGGCCTCAGAATCAGCCCTTAAGGCATTTGGATCTGGTTGAAGAGCCCATGAGAGTATTTTAGGCATGGAAAGCCAAGACACTCTGGAAAACAAACAAACAACAACAACAACAAAAATAAATAAACCTAAATGAAAGATCTCTGTGAGTGAGATCCCAGTGGAAAGAATGGGGCCATCAAAGAAGGAGGTACCTTTCTCTGAAGGGAGGAGAGAACTTCCACTCTGGCTATGACCCTGTCTGAATAAGATCGAAGTCGGCAAACTCAAAAGGCTTCCTTAGCCTTGGCAACTCATGACTAGAGCCTAGAGAGATTACTGACGCCATAAACAAGAGTGTCAAATTGTTAAGTCAACAACAAGAGTCACTGTGTACTTACTCCTCATGTGGGATCTGTCCTTAGTGTGTTGTCCAATGTGAAGTAATGCTATAACTAGTACTGAAACAGTATTTTACACTTTGTGCTTCTGTGTGGGTGCAAACTGATTAAATCTTTACTTAATATATACTAAATTGATCTTCTGTATATAAAGAGAATTGAAAATGAATCTTGATTTGAATGGAATGGGAGAGGGAGCAGGAGATGGGAGGGGTGCTAGTGGGAGGGAAGTTATGGGGGAGGCCATGGTAATCCATAAACTGTACTTTGGAAATTTATATTTACTAAATTAAAAAGAAGAAAAAAGACCCCAACTGAGAAATGATCAGTGGGCTTAAAAAATAAAGGAATAATGAAATAAAAAAAAGAATTTCAGACCTGGATGTTGCCCTTACAGATGCTGGTAAAGGGATCAAATCGCTTAAGTGTCATGTAGAATACATGATGTTCCCTTTGCAAAGGGAAGCGGCCCCCTCTAGCCACTCGTCTTTGCTGGCTGTTTGCTGCTGGTTTCCTTAAATCAGTGCTAACAGGACTTGTAGGAGTTAGGGACAGCAAACAACACCGGGCCCTTGGTGAACACCCCATGAGCAGGATCGGGGTGGAAGCTCCACTTGGGTATCACTGGTTCCCAAAGTGCCCAGGGGAGCTGTTGCTGGTCCCCAGCTGTAGAAGCGGGAAGAGCGGTGGGCGCTGTGGTGCAGCACGATAAGCTGCCATGGGCAACACCAGCATCCCATATCGGAGCACCGACTCCAGTCCTGGCTACTGTGCCTCTGATTCAGCTTCCTGCTAGTCAGCTGTGAATGCAGTGGAAGATGACCGAAGTCCTTGGGTCCCTGCCATCATGTGGGAGGCCAAGATGGAGGTCTGGGCTCTTGGCTTCAGCCTGGCCCAGCCCTGACTGTTACAGGTATTTTGGTGACTAAACCAGTAGATGGAACATCTGTCTGTCTCTGTCACTCTTTCTTTTAAATAAATAGACCAATAGGGGCCGGCGCCGTGGTTCACTTGGCTAATCCTCCACCTGCGGCGCCGGCATCCCATATGGGCGCCGGGTTCTAGTCCAGTCCAGCTCTCTGCTGTGGCCCGGGAAGGCAGTGGAGGATGGCCCAAGTGCTTGGGTCCCTGCACCCGCATGGGAGACCAGGAGGAAGCACCTGGCTCCTGGCTTCGGATTGGCGCAGCGCCGGCCGTAGCGGCCATTTGGGGGATGAACCAACAGAAGGAAGACCTTTCTCTCTGTCTCTCTCTCTCACCATCTAACTCTATCTGTCAAATAAAAAAAAATTTAAAAATAGACCAATAAAGCTTTAAAAAAAGACAATAGGAATAATTTCACGATGCCTACAGTAGTTGAACAATGTACTTATTAAAGGATATGTCCATATCCAAGTCTCTGGGACCTGTGAATATGACCTTTGCAGATGTAACTGATTCAGGACTTTAGGATGAGATCATTCTAGATGTCCCAGTGGGTCCCAAATCCAATGACAAGTGTCCTTAAGAGACACACTCAGGGCAAAGGGCTATGTGGAGATTCAGCGGAGCTTGGGATGAGGCAGCCACAGGCTTGGGCATCCGAGGGGTGGCCCTCAAAGCTGGAAGAGGCCAGGGAGGGTCCTCCATGTGTGTCTCCCTTGGGTGGGTGCCCCGCTGGCCCTGGACCTCCAGCCTCTGGCACTGCAGGGGAACACGCTTCTGTGGTTTGGGGACCCCTTGCACTAAGTTGTGCAGCCAAAGGTTCCTTGTCTTTCAATCATGTCCCCTGAGGGCATGGCACAGGCTTCCTGGAGAAGCCAAGATCTGAGGACGTGGCCTCCTTCACAAAGCCCTTCTCATGCAACAGGAGCTGGGCACGGTGACCCGATCCTGGGACCTGGACAGACTAAACCGCGTCCTGTCAATGAGTTGCAGCTGTTGGTGTCCCTGAGGTCCTGAGGTGCAAGTGTCCCATGCATGCGGCTGCTCTCCCCTTAACGTTCTCACACTGGGGAGGGCGGGGTGGTGGTGACGCCATGCAGGGAGTGAGTCCTGGCGAGCCACAGAGAAGGCAGAATGACAGCAACAGACTGTGGCCCTTGGGCTAGGCTCCTGGTGAGCTGGGCTCTCGTCTTGCCTCTGCCACTCACCAGCTGTGTGGGCCTGGCGGAGGGCAGGGGAAATGCTCACCAAACTGTTTTTCCTGTCTGGACCCACAGGAAGACAACATTTCCTGGCATCCTGTGCATTTAGACAAGGGCCCTGTGACTGGGTTTGGTTGATGGGATGTGGAAAAGCATGCACTATTTTTTTTAAGGTTGATTTGTTTATTTAAAAGGCAGAGTTTTACACACACACACACACACAGAGAAAGAGAGAGAGAGAGAGAGAGAGAGAGATCTTCCATTTGCTGGTTCACTCCCCCAGATAGCTGCAATGGCTGGGACTGGGTCAGGCTGAAGCCAGGAGCCTGGAACTCCATGTGCTTCTCCCGTGTAGCTGGCAGGGGCCCAAGCACTTGGACCATCTTCCACTGCTTTCCCAGGTGCATTAGCAGGAAGCTGGACTAGAAGTGGAGCAGCTGGGACTCAGACTGGTTCCTGTATGGGAACAAGCGGAAACTTCACCCCCTGCACCACCACGCTGGCCCCTGGCGGGTACCTCAACTAGGCTGACTAGCAGTGCAGCCTCTCCCCATCCATGCCACCTCTGAAGCCATGCACTTCAGTGACAGCTGTCCCCACATGGCCGCAGGCTGGGTGCCCGGGCCCTCTGCCAGGGACATGAAGGAGAAACAGCCCCATGCTGTACTATGCTACTGGGATTTGGGTCCTTTTGTTATTGAAGCATAACCTAGGCTGAACCTGGTGATGTATATATATTTTTAATTCCTCCGATCCTGTCTCTGCCTATGTAAGATGTTAACTGTAATATCTATCATTGCGGTCAGAGGCATTTTCCTTGTAAATGACGGAACCCACTCACTCTGGTTAAATCAAACAGGGAATGTGTTGGAAAGATTCAGGGCAAGCTTGCGAAAGCCCAGTACCTGTGGCTTCCCAGCCCTAGGGATACATCGCTCACTCTTCCTTCCTGGATCGCCGTCATCTAAATCATCTAAATCTCACGCTAAAGTCCCAGAGGACAAAATCTGATTGGCTCAGCTTGGTCAAGCTCTACTTCTTCTCCAATCAGCCGCAGCCGGAGATGAGGCTGGTACCGGAGCGCTCCAGGTTGAGTTTTCCTCTTTAAGGGAGGGGTGCCCTTGGCTCGGACACGGGGCTCTCGGGCTGGGCAGCGGCTGAGGCTGCCTTCCAGGAGAATGGTAGGAATCTGGCGCTCTGTGCGAAGCCCATGCTGGGATTTTAGCAGAACTTGCTTACGAAGAACGGTCCCGCCGTGAATACTCACTCTGCAGTCCCACGCTGGATCGCAGTCTGCAGACGGCGGGCCCTGCCCCGCGGGCACATTTGTCCTTATCTCTCAGCCCGCCAGCGTCTCTCCGCAGGTCATAAATAGCTGTGTGGTCACCGAAGCATCAGCGGCACAGACAGCTGCGTGGCCGCTGCTGTTCCCCAGGCTGCCGCTGCCGCTGCCGCCGCTCTGCAAGTCTCCACCGCCGCGCGCCTGCCCCGAAGGAACTTTGGCATTTTCTGAAAGGTCAGCAGCTGCGATTCCAGGCCACGTGGGTAACCTGAACTTCTAACATTTAAATGTAGCCGCGCCCGCGGCTGTCAGCCAGGGCTGGGTGATGGCGAAGCAAAGCAGCCGGCTCTCCCTGAGTTGAGTGCGTGTAAGTGACACCAGCCAGTACCCCTCCCTCCCAGCCCTCTGATTCCTGAGGCTTCTGCTCATTTTCAAAACACAGTGCTTCTTTCTTTATTTCAAAGGCAGAGAGGGAGACCGAGAGAGAGAGAGAGAGAGAGAAAGAGAATATTTTTGATCCTCTCATTCACTCCCTAAATGCCCACAACAGCCAGGGCTGTGCCAGGCGGAAGCCAGGAGCTCCATCCAGGTCTCCCACATGGGTGCTGGGGACCCAAGTACTGGGGCCATCTTCTGCTGCCTACCAGGAAGCTGGGTTGGAAGCAAAGTAACTGGACTTGAACTGGCACCCTGATAGAGCAGGTGCACCCTGATAGAGCAGTTAGGCTGCCATTGCACCGGTGACCTAACCTGTGGCCCTGCAACACGGGGTGCCAACCTTGACACCCTCAGAGGCTGTACGGCTGGTGCCTCTCTGGCGATCGGAGCCGAAACCCTGGGTGATTGGCTGGTTTGTCTCATAACCAATCTGTTGAGAACAGACTCGTGTACAAGACATAACGGAAAGAATGAACTGGCTGGCAATAAACTCGCAGTAACACCTAAGGAAGTGCTGAGCACCTACTGCATCAGGCACATCTTTCCAGTTTTTTTTTTCTTTTTTTTGACAGGCAGAGTGGACAGTGAGAGAGAGACAGAGAGAAAGGTCTTCCTTTGCTGTTGGTTCACCCTCCAATGGCCGCTGCGGCTGGTGCGCTTTGGCTGGCGCACCGCGCCGATCCGAAGGCAGGAGCCAGGTGCTTCTCCTGGTCTCCCATGGGGTGCAGGGCCCAAGTACTTGGGCCATCCTCCACTGCCTTCCCGGGCCACAGCAGAGAGCTGGCCTGGAAGAGGGGCAACCGCGACAGAATCCGGCACCCCGACCGGGACTAGAACCCGGTGTGCCGGCGCCGCTAGGCGGAGGATTAGCCTAGTGAGCCGCGGCGCCGGCCACATCTTTCCAGTTTTAATCCTCTCTGAGGTGGGTGTTTTATCCACGTGAGTGAGGAAGCGGGGGCTTTGAGGAGTGGAGGAACTTTCCCCAGTCGTGTAACTAGCAGACTACTAGCTTGCAACACAGAGCCAGGTCTGCCTGTGCCACCAAAAGCATGTTGACCCCACTGTGCCGGCCCCCAGCAGTGCCTGCCAGCCACACAGACAGACCCTCCCCAGCTGGAACAGCCCAGGGGTGGGCTGGGGGCTCGGCTGGGAGTGAGCACGTTCGCTTTTTCTTTCTATTTCTCCAGTGTTTCCTTTTGAACGAGCAGGGGGTCCTTTTATTATCCTAAAACATAAACGCAGGGGAACAATGATACTGGTGCAGGGCGCTGTGCGAGGGAACACCATTGTCCCCTCCTCTCTCCTCCCGAGCCATCCAATCACACGTGCTTTCTGTGACTTAAAGGCACCCTTTTCAAGCGGCTTGGCAACGAAGGCTGGCTGAAGAGATCTCAGGATTGCACGTACTTGATGTCGTGACCTATGCCCCAGATAGGGTACCGGCCACCGACAGCTGCTGCACAGCCAGATTCTGCAGAACCCGGATGTGCACAAGCCTTCTGGGCCTCCTGCATTAAAGTGTTTTGTGGATCACTTCCCCCCTCCCACCTGCTATTACTAAATCCCTGTTTGTTAGGGTCTTTACGGGGGTGGGGGGGAACCCATCAACAGAACACAGGTCTGGGCTTTGGGCAGCCCAAGGCTATTTATAGCTTGCTTAGGGCGCTTTGGCAGAGCCCTGAGAGATTTCCTTGAGGGCTCGTCCAGTTATGCCAGTCATTCCAGTCACGCGGGCTGGGTCCTTTTTCTTACAGGTCCGGCAGGGACAGCACACTTTTCCTCTCAGCGTCCACTCGGCGGAGCCGGGAGCCCCTTGGGGAAAAGCAAGGATTCCTGCTAGGAGAAAGATTTGCAGTCGCATCGACCACCATGGCGGACAGAAGCCCCTTCGAGACCGACATGCTCACCCTGACCCGCTACGTCATGGAGAAGGGGCGGCAGGCCAAAGGCACCGGAGAGCTCACCCAGCTTCTCAACTCCATGCTGACGGCCATCAAAGCCATCTCCTCGGCCGTGCGCAAGGCCGGCCTGGCCCACCTGTGAGTCCCGGGGAGCTCGCGCGGGAGCTGCACCTGCTTGGGCTAGAAACGGGGTCACCATGGTTACACCCGTGTGCCCCAGAAGGAAGCTGCATTTCACCTCTCTCTCATGTGTGCTATTTTGAAACACACAAGGGAGCAAAAAAAAAAGTGTTATTTTTCCTGTTACTGTTTATCTGGCAAGAGCAAACGCAGTGGCTCGTTGTACTAAAACATGCTGAATTTAAAAATGGTGCATTAAAAATTGCTGAATTCTGCTGACTGTGTTCACAGTCTCAGTGGCACCAAGAAGCAGAGGGGGACTTGAAAGGTCTCTTTCTGGTGCTTTGCACAGACTTGCATTTTTTTTTTTATTTGACAGATAGAGTTAGACAGTGAGAGACAGAGACAGAGAGAAAGGTCTTCCCTCCGCTGGTTCACCCCCCAAATGGCCACTACGGCCGGTGCGCTGCGCCAATCCAAAGCCATGATCCAGGTGCTTCCTCCTGGTCTCCCATGCGAGTGCAGGGCCCAAGGACCTGAGCCATCCTCCACTGCCCTCCTGGGCCACAGCAGAGAGCTGGACTGGAAGAGGAGCAACCGGGATTAGAACCCAGCACCCATATGGGATGCCGGTACCGCAGGCAGAGGATTAACCAAGTGAGCCACGGCGCCGGCCCCAGACTTGTGTTTTTATGATGGCCTTTGCTCATATTGGTACCAGCCAGGAATCATTCACCCAACGAACACCTCCCGGGGCTGGATCCACAGCTCCCCCCTCACCGTGGGAGGGAGACTTTGGTGGCTCTATTTTAAGTTTAGTCTTTGTCTTTCTTTCTCTTTGTCTGTATTTGGCGTGCGGGAAGCTGGGAGTGGGAGGGAAGAGTCTTCTTGCACGTGCTTGGTCCTTGGTAGTTTATCCAAGAACAGCCGGAGGCCAGGTTCACGTGGATCACAGCCGAGTGTTCCAATTGTGATAAGAAGAAACCATTTTTGTTGGGACTTCCACTTCCTTTGTAATAATGATGTGACTTGGCTTGCCCACTGGAGGTCTCTGGGGAGTTGAAAGGTCTTGTATTGGGGGGGGGGACTCCAAAGTAAGACTTGACAAAGCCCAGTCACTGAAAATACTTCTGAACAGCTTAGTGCTTTTAACACAGAAGACCTGCCGGGTGCTATCTCAGGTTGCAATGATCACAAGGTCATCAGAGATTTTATTCCCACGAAGTTTCATTAGGGACCCAGCAACGGGACTCAAATTAAGGACGCACCGTGCTTAGCGCTTTCCTCTCTGTGCACTGACCGCATTTGACAACCATGGCCAAGTTCTCCCCTCTCCGAATGCAAGGTGCAGCCCTGTCTCTCCCTGCACGGGAGTCCTAGTGTTCCGACCGCGGCTTCCTGGGCCCCATCTCGGGGTCACGCCCCCTCCTCTCCCTGCTCCACTGACTGACTACGTGGCTGGGGCGGAGGGGGTGGCCTTTGTGGCAGCTGAGTGTCCAGACCCCAGCCAGGAAGGTGATGAGCTAGCTTCCCTTCCCTTCCCTGCGGTGGTAGGCCACGACTTGCTCCTGCTGGGCCTACCTCTCCTCACTCGGAGGGTCGCGACGATTTCCACAGTGCCTGTGGGGCTCAGAAAAAAAGCCCCTTAGTGCCAGGAGCCCACGCCGCTCCCCGGGGAAATCAGCCGGCGGGCACCGCCGCCGACCGGCCACTAGGTGGCAGGCGCAGCCCGCTGAGACAAAGCCGCCGGCGTCTGCAACGGCTTTGAGGCTGAAGCGGGGCCTGGTGCGTGCGAATTCTTGCAAGATCTGCCCTGAAGGCTTCCTTGGGATCCACGTGTCCCCCTAGCAGGGCACGTGACCCGCCTTTGTGGAGCTAGGGAGCTGCCCTGCGCCTGCGGGGCTCGGGGTGGGCTGGGCTGGGCTGGGGGGAGTGCGGGGGCAGCACGGTGGGGTTGGAGGGTGTGGGTGCAAGGACCTGGGTGTGCTAGCCAGATGCTGGGTCTGTGGTCCGCTTACACTGCCACGCAAGACAACCCCGTTTTGTTGTGACTGTTGTTGGTTGGCTGCTTGCAATTGTCCGGAAATGAAAAGTGCAGGTTTTTTTTTTTTTTTCTTCAAAAGGTTTATGTATTTGAAAGGCACAGGGAGAGAGAGGCGTGGGGAGGGAGAGCTTCCATCTGCTGTTTTCGCTGTCCAGATGTCTGCAGAAGGCCAGGTCTGGGCCAGGCAGGGAAACCAGGAGCCAGGAGCTCCATCTGGGTCTCCCACGTGGGTGCCAGGGACCCCAGTACTGAAGCCACTTGCACCGCTCTCCCAGGCTCGGTCGCAAGGAGCTGGATCAGCAGTGGAGCTGCTGGGACTCAGACTGGTGCCAGTGTTGCAGACGGGGCTTAACCTGCTCTGCTACAAGGCCCGCCCCAGAAGGTGCTGTCTTTGAGGCCAGGCAACCGGAATTGTTTTGCAGGGCAGCTGGCTCCTTGTACCAGGCATCACATGAGGTGGCTGGGGCGGGGTATGGGTGACGCTGGCCATCAGAGAGAGAGCAGGAATCACCGTGTCCCCAGCTTAGGTTCTCAGCCCTGGCTGCCTGTAGAGACGTCCTCAATCAGTGAGGAGGGGAAGAGAAACTCCTTGCTGGCCGCCCCTGTCCTTGTAATCCATTGGACACTGAGCATTGCTTATGCATGCGTGGGGACCCAGGCGGTCAGACACAGTCCTTTCCCTTAGCAGGCCAAAAACCCAGCAGGAAGGGTACCCAAGAGCAGAGTGGAAGGGAGGGCAGGCTGTACCCGTCAGGTGGTGGGGGACACGCAGGACACCTGGGGAGGGGGCGGGGGCTTCCTGGAGGGTGTGAGGAGGAAGCTGATGGCAGGCAGAGAGCATGGAGGGGAGAGGCGGGGGCAGCTCGGTGTGCAGGGGCTGCATGGCCTTAGCACCTGCTGGGATGTAAGCGTGCGTACCCCTTGATGCGGCAGGGACAGAGGGCACAGACTACGGGGCGGCGGCTGCCGTTGGGACAGAGAAAGAAACCCCTGCCTCTGTGGAGCCCAGAGACAAAACCGATCACTAGATGGCGGTGAGAGCTGAGGCGGAAAATGAATCAAGAAGGGGGCTCAGGGGTGGGTATTTTAGCCGGGAGGCCAGGGAAGGCCTCACCGAGCGATGAGTCAGGCTGGAGTAGAGTGACAGCCACGGGGCTCCTGGTGGCAAGAGGCGCCCAGGCAGGAAGCAGCTTGGTCAGCAGTCAGATTGGCGGTAAGGCAGGTGAGTGGCGGGGTAGGGGGTGGGGTGGGGGTCCCGAGCAGACTGCTGAGAGCCCAGTGCTAGAAGGAGCCCTTACCTGCGGTGATGCGTCTGGATTTTATGAGCTCTGCTGTCCTGTCCAGCCCCAGCTTGAATTCCCCAATCTCACTGGGGGAGGAGGCAAGGAAATGGGGCCATGTCCTCAAGGTGAAAAGCAGGCGAGGCGACAAGGCCCAATACAGGGCATTTCAGTAAGTTCACAGAGAAAGGAACTAAAAGATCATGTCTCTTTTGGTTCAAACAATTTTTGAGATCCGTGTCTCGGTGGGGTCTTCAAAAAGTTCATGGCAAAATGCACACTATGATGAAAACCATGAATGAATTTCAATTTTTAACAAAAGATTTATGTGGTTGAAAGGCAGTTACAGAAACAGTGGGGGAGAGAGAGAGAGATATTTTTCATCTGCTGGTTCACTCCCCAAATGGCCACACGAGCCAAGGCTGGCCCAAGCTGAAGCCAGGAGCCTGGAGCTCCATCCAGGTCTCCCACGTGGGTAGCGAGGACTCAAGTTCTTAGGCATCTTCTGCTGCTTTTCCAGGTGCGTTAACAAGGAGTTGGAGCGCACGCAGAGCAGCCAGGACTCTAACAGGTGCTCTGATATGGGATGCTGGCATTGCACTTGGCAGCTTAACCCGCTGCACCACAATGCCGGCACCAGATCTCAATTTTATTTTTTGCACCCAGTTAAACTTATCTCTTAATTCTATTTTCCGAGAACTTTCAGAACTGCCCCTTGTATAGCCTGGAGACGCTGCGGGTGTCCTGGCGCGTGTGGGATCTTCCCTGGGGTGATGCGTCCCTCGGTGACTTGATGCAGCCTTCTGTCGTCTCAGGTATGGAATCGCGGGCACCGTGAACGTGACGGGAGACGAGGTGAAGAAGCTGGATGTGTTGTCCAATGCCCTGGTGATCAACATGCTCCAGTCCTCCTACAGCACCTGCGTGCTGGTCTCGGAGGAGAACAAAGAGGCCATCATCACCGCCAAGGAGAGACGGGTGCGTCCCGGGGTGGCTGCAGAATCTGCCCTCACCAGTAGGTGGTGCCAAAGCAGAGCTCCCAGGAAGAACTGCACAGGACAGCCCCTGACTCTCCTCCCACAGCCCCCGCCCGAGGGGTTATGGTTTGGGTAGAGGTGTCTTCGCACCTGACCGACTCGTAGATCAATCGAGAAAAGAACTCCTAAAATCCCCACGCTCTGGCGTTAACACAACGGTAGAGTTGGTTAGTGCAGGGTGTGACTGCAGAGGGTCTGTAGTCACAAGGGTCCCTCTGCTTTTGTAAAGGGAAGGTTTGGCTGGTGGCCATAAGGCCAACCAGCGTTCAGCCACAATGCAGAAACACAAAATAGGTGCTGGCCCTGTGGGCCCTTGTTTGACACACTGGATATGACAGGCCATTTCTCTGTGATTTTTCTGGAAGGAAGGAAAAGATAAAGCCTAGCTTATTAAGCACCTACCAGATACCATGCAGGGCATTTGTTCCACATAACTTAAGCTTAATTAAACTTATTATCTCCAAGTTTAAAATTCAGCTGATAGGAAATCAATCTCCAGTCTCCAGGCTCCCATCTAATCTACTGCTGTCCTCCCCAGGTGGCTGGAGCCACGTGAGTCTTCTCACTAGTTCTTGGTTTTGCTCCATGGCTGCTCTCCGTGCCGCGCCAGGAGCACCTGCCATCCCTTTGTCTACAGTTCTCTTCCTGGGTTCCTTGTGGCCTTTTTCCTAATTCCAGTCAGACCCATTGTTGAATGCTACCTCCCTCATCCCCATCCACTTCCCCTTTGGTTTCTCTCTCTCTCTTTCTCTCTATTTAAAGATTTATTTCCAAAGGTAGAGTGATATATAGAGGGAGAGACAGGGAGGAAGATCTATCCCCAAGGGCTGGTTCAGGCCAAAGCCTGGAGCTCCATCTGGGTCTGCTACATGTGTGGCAGGTTCCCAACACTTGGGCTGTCTTCTGTTGCTTTCCCAGAGGCTCCAAGTCCAGCTGGGACTTGAACCGATGCTCTGATAAGGGACGCCACTGCTTTAGGCCACAGCTTCACCTGCTGGCCACAGTGCCACCCTGCAGTTGCTTTTTCCTGAGTGCATTCACCACCACCCACTCATATGTGGGCTCGCTGGAGTCCTGTTAGAAACCAGTTCCGTGAAGAGAGCTTTGCTGCTACCGCCTCTCCTGACACTTGAGCACCTTGAACTTTGCCAGCCAATGAATGCAGCAGTGGATCAAGGGGCTATTCGTGGAGAGGCTGTGGAATTTCCAACTTTGTGGATTACCCTACTTCCCCCCTCGCTCTCTGGCTGAGCAAGGAGAGAAAAAGACAGCAGACTCAAATGAAGCTGGGGCGTCGCTGGCTGGCCAGTCGGGGAGGACACATTTGGGTAGAGAGAGAAATGCCTCCTGTTTGACGTGCTATTTATCAGTGATTCGTGCGCCAGGCTAGGGCTCTCTTGGTAGCTCGCCCATAGCAAAAATCTGAGAATTTCCTGCCTGGCATGTCGGCTGGCCCTGCCTGGGACAGACCGCAGGGTGAGTGGACGTGGGGAACATGGGTCTCACAAGACCCGACTTGTTCCATCTTCTGGGCTTCACATTGGGCCAGCACATTGGCGGCAGTGGAATCCAGAGGAATATTTGTATTCTGACGTCTGCACCTGCTCTCTGAGTCAGACAGATCCAGAGGCACCAGGAATGGTGTTCAGAGACTTTCTCAAGCCTTTTTGGTAAAAATGGCTTACGATGAAAACAGTCCAGTCTGGGGAGAGGCCCAGGAAGAATGATCCCTAAAGCCATGGCCTACGTTACTGTGGGCACTTTGGGGCAGTGGCCCAAGATTATCTCTCACTCCCCACCCCTTCCCTCAAGGTGCCAATTCCACAGGTTCTTGTGACATCTGGAGCAGCTAAGAGCTCAGGTGTGTGTGTGTGTGTGTGTGTGTGTGTGTATGGAGGAGCCCAAGCACCTGCAGATGGGTGGCTCCCCAACATCTTATTCGGGGGTCCACAGATCTACTGGGGGTAGGACCAGCTCTGAGCTGTAAGCGTTGTGTGTGCTGGTGCACGCTGTCCTCCACAAGTGCCAGCATTTTTTTGAATGATGACATGCAGTGTCTCTAAATCTCTTTTTGATGTCATGCTGTCTGCCACACACGGCTGTGTGGCAGCTGTGCCCATGGGCGGATGTGCTCATGTGGCCGGTGCTGCTCCCCTTTGTCCCTTTAGGGGAAATACGTGGTCTGCTTTGACCCGCTGGATGGATCTTCCAACATTGACTGCCTGGCCTCCATTGGGACCATATTTGCCATCTACAGGAAGGTGAGTGCATGGGCTGGCCTTTCTCACCTCCTTCATGTGGGCTTCCTGGGAGGTTCCTGGCCTGAGTGTTGTTGCCCCACTGACCAGACCCCACCACTGTGGGCAAACCAGGAAAATCTCCCTGCTAGAGGCTTTGCATGGGAATAGCTGCATTGGTGATCTGCTCTCTGCCTTTTTCCCGGCATTCCTAGGAGAGTAAAGTGAAAGGATCATCCCTTTCACAGGTATTTTTTTTTAAGATTTATTTATTTATTTGAAAGTCATAGTTACACAGAGAGAGGAAAGAGAGAGAGAGGGAGAGAGAGAGGTATTCCACCTGCTGGTTCACTACCCAGTTGGCCTCAATGGCTGGAGCTGCACTGGTCCGAAGCCAGGAGCCCGGAGCTTCTTAGGGTCTCCCATGTGGGTGCAGAGGCCCAAGGACTTGGGCCATCTTCTACTGCTTTCCCAGGCCACAGCAGAGAGCAGGATGGGAAGAGGAGCAGCCGGGTCTCGAACCGGCACCCATATGGGATGCCGGCACTGTAGCTGGCAGCTTTACTGATTACACCACAGCGCCGGCCCCAGTGACCTTGTTTTGAAAGCCTGGATGGAACACTCCTGCCAGACTCGGTGCAGGCTGAGCATCCCTTTTCCAAAATGCTTGGGAACACAAGAGTTATTTTGGACTTTGAAATATTTGCATAGACACCATGTGATATCCTGGGGATGGGCTCCAAGTGCAGACATGAAATTCATTTATATTTCATATCCTCCTCATGCACACAGCCTGCAGGTAATTCACAGCAGTATTTTCAGTAGGCATGTTTTGACTGCTATTGTCCATGAGGTCGAGTATAGAATTTTCCATTTGTAACATCATTATCAGCCAGGAGACAGGAACGCCATCCAGTCTCCTACGTGGTTGGCAGGGGCCCAAGTACTCGGGCCATCTTCTGGTGCCTTCTCAGGCACATTCCTCAATTATTTGGAATTCCTTTTGGGAAAACGATCAGGGTTATAAATATTTGTATATTAGATTGTTCATCTCATGTTGTTTTGATATTAAAAACATTAGGAGCCATCAAAAGGATAATAAGGTAGTAATGCAAGCAATTGTACCTGTATCCATTGTACAACTTACACAAAATGGGCCAACTCCTAAAAAGGCTCAGAGCTACCCCATATGAAATAGATAACTTGAGTGGCTAGTTATGAGGCTGTATAACTGTTCAGAAAATACAATTCAAAAAAAGAAACATCCAGGGGCAGGCACTGTGGTGCACCACTTTGATTCCCCCATCCCATATTGTAGCGCCTGGGTTCAAGTCCTGGCTCCTCTTCTGATCCAGCTTCTTGCTGATGCACACTCTGGGAGGCAGCAGGAGATGGCTCAAGGAGCTGGATTCCTGCCACTCAGTGGAGACCTGGACTGGGTGCTGGGCTCCTGGCTTCACCCTGGCCCAACCCTGGCTGTTGCAGGGAACTGGGGAGTGAACCAGCAGATAGAAGATCTCTCTTTGTATCTGTCTCTCTACCTTTCAAATAAATAAAAATAAACTTAAAAAAAAAAAAAAGGTATTGGGGCCGGCGCCATGGCTCACTTGGTTAATCCTCCACCTGCGGCACCAGCATCCCATATGGGCACCTGGTTCTAGTCCTGGTTGCTCCTCTTCCAGTCCAGCTCTCTGCTGTGGCCCAGGAAGGCAGTGGAAGATGGCCCAAGTGCTTGGGCCCTGCACCCGCATGGGAGACCAGGAGGAAGCACCTGGCTCCTGGCTTCGGATCGGCGCAGCGCTGGCTATAGCAGCCATTGGAGGGTGAACCAACGGAAGGAAGACCTCTTTCTCTGTCTGTCTCTCACTGTCTAACTCTACCTGTCAAAAAAAAAAAAAAAAAAAAAAAAAAAAAAAAGGTATTTCCAGGCCCAATTGGTTTCACTGGTGAATTTCACAAAATACTGAGATTATTCCATGTATTTCAGAGTAGAGGAATAAACACTTACTAATTCTTATTAATTAACTTATCAGTATTACCCTGATACCCAAACCAGACAAATATAGTTGTTAAAAAGGGAGGAGAGGCCGGCGCCGCGGCTCACTAGGCTGATCCTCCGCCTTGCGGCGCCGGCACACTGGGTTCTAGTCCCGGTCGGGGCGCCGGATTCTGTCCTGGTTGCCCCTCTTCCAGGCCAGCTCTCTGCTGTGGCCAGGGAGTGCAGTGGAGGATGGCCCAAGTGCTTGGGCCCTGCACCCCATGGGAGACCAGGAGAAGCACCTGGCTCCTGCCATTGGATCAGCGTGGTGCGGCGGCCATTGGAGAGTGAACCAACGGCAAAAGGAAGACCTTTCTCTCTGTCTCGCTCTCTCACTGTCCACTCTGCCTGTCAAAAAATAAAAAATAAATAAATTAAAAAAATTAAAAAAGGGAGGAGAAGTGGGTCTCTAAGCTGACCAAGTCCCTGAGGGTGTAGGAGAGGGTGGGAGGCCTAGCTGTGGCTGCAGGATCAGGACTGGGTATACAGGAGAGCCTTGTAGTCAGGAGCTATCGGCAGAACTCTGGTTTTGCACACAGAAAGCAGGGTCCAGGGGCTGGTGCCGTGACTCACTAGACTAATCCTCTACCTGTGGCGCCGGCACCCCGAGTTCTAGTCCCGGTTGGGGCGCCGGATTCTGTCCCAGTTGCTCCTCTTCCAGTCCAGCTCTCTGCTATGGCCCGGGAAGGCAGTGGAGGATGGCCCAAGTGCTTGGGCCCTGCACCCCATGGGAGACCAGGAGAAGCTTCTGGCTCCTGGCTTTGGATCGGCGCAGCGCCGGCCGTGGTGGCCGTTTGAGGAGTGAACCAACGGAGGGAGGACCTTTCTCTCTGTCTCTCTCTCTCTCTCACTGTCTATAACTCTATCTGTCAAATAAATAAATAAAAATTAGCTGCTCTTAAAAAAAAAGAAAGGCCGACGCCGCGGCTCACTAGGCTAATCCTCCGCCTAGCGGCGCCGGCACACCGGGTTCTAGCCCCGGTCGGGGCGCCGGATTCTGTCCCGGTTGCCCCTCTTCCAGGCCAGCCCTCTGCTGTGGCCAGGGAGTGCAGTGGAGGATGGCCCAGGTGCTTGGGCCTTGCACCCCATGGGAGACCAGGAAAAGCACCTGGCTCCTGGCTTCGGATCAGCGCGGTGCGCCGGCCGCAGCATGCTGGCCGCGGCGGCCATTGGAGGGTGAACCAACGGCAAAAGGAAGACCTTTCTCTCTGTCTCTCTCTCTCACTGTCCACTCTGCCTGTCAAAAAAATAAAAAAAAAAAAGAAAGAAAGAAAGAAAGAAAAGAAAGCAGGGTCCTCTTAATGGCTGGAGGAAAATGTTTCAGATGCTTCCATGGGGAAGACTAAAGATTTTTGTTTGTTTGTTTGTTTTTAACTTTTATTTAATGAATATAAATTTCCAAAGCACAGCTTATGGATTACAATGGCTCCCCCCACCCTGCCCATAACTTCCCTCCCACCCGCAACCCTCCCCTCTCCCGCTCCCTCTCCCCTTCCATTCACATCAAGATTAATTTTCAATTCTCTTTATATACAGAAGATCAGTTTAGCATATATTAAGTAATGATTTCAACAGTTTGCACCCACACAGAGACACAAAGTGAAAAATACTGTTTGAGTACTAGTTATAGCATTAAATCACAATGTACAGCACATTAAGGACAGAGATCCTACATGAGTAAGTGCACAATGACTCCTGTTGTTGACTTTACAAATTGACACTCTTGTTTATGGCATCAGTAATCACCCTAGACTCTTGCCATGAGTTGCCAAGGCTATGGAAGCCTTTTGAGTATGCCAACTCTGATCATATTTAGACAAGGTCATAGTCAAAGTGGAAGTTCTCTCCTCCCTTCAGAGAAAGGTACCTCCTTTGATGACCTGTTCTTTCCACTGGGATCTCACTCGCAGAGATCTTTCATTTAGGTCATTTTTTTTGCCAGAGTAAGACTAAAGATTTTGACTTATATTAAAAACCCTAGGGCTGGCACTGTGGCACAGCAGGTTAAAGCCCCAGCCTGAAGCACTGGCATCCCATATGGGCACCGGTTCAAGTTCCAGCTGCTCCACTTCTATTTTTTTTTTGACAGGCAGAGTGGACAGTGAGAAAGAGAGAGAGAGAGAGAAAGGTCTTCCTTTGCCGTTGGTTCACTCCCAAAATGGCTGCTGCGGCTGGCGCACCATGATGATCTGAAGCCAGGAGCCAGGTGCTTCTCCTGGTCTCCCATGCGGGTGCAGGGCCCAAGCACTTGGTCCATCCTCCACTGCACTCCCTGGCCACAGCAGAGAGCTGGCCTGGAAGAGGGGCAACCGGGACAGAATCCGGTGCCCAGACCAGGACTAGAACTCGGTGTGTTGGTGCTGCAGGCGGAGGATCAGCCTAGTGAGCCACAGTGCCAGCTGCTCCACTTCTGATCCAGTTCTCTGCTTTGGTCTGGGCCCCTGCACCCACGTGGGAGTAGGAGCCAGGAGCTTCTTCTGGGTCTCCCACGTGGGTGTAGGGGCCCAAGCACTTGGGCCTTCTTCTACTGCTTTCCCAGGCCAGAGCAGAGAGCTGGATCAGACGTGGAGCAGCCGGGACTCAAACCGGTGCCCATATGGGATGCTGGTGCCACAGGCAGAGCGTTAGCCTACTACGCCACAGCACCAGCCTCCCTGTAGTATCTTAAGAAGCGATTCTGTTGGAGAGTTGAGTAGCACAGTGGACATAATTCCACTGTGTGTGAGGCACACAGGCTGCTGTTCCGGGCCTGCTTCCTGCGAGCGTAATTCTTACGTGTCATCCGTATTTGGAAGTGCAGTTGGCTCTCTGTTTTCTCAGCTTCTGCACCCGAAGAGACAACCAACCTTGGATCAAAAAATATTCGGAAAACATTCTATCTGTCATTGTTTTTGTCATTATTCACCAGTCAATGCAATGGAACAGCTCATGGCAGCAATCAGCAGAGAGAAGAGACATCCAGCAGAATGGGAGAGAACATTTTTGGGCTGTGTGCCTGACAGCCTGGGCTCTTCCTTAACGTAGCATCCTGCTTCCTCTGAGTACGACTGGGGCAGCTGCAAAGGCTGAGCACTGCGCCTCGTCCAGGGGCCCCAAGGAATGTGAGCGCAGGCCTCCCGGGTGTAGGGTTCTCTCCGGAGACAGCGATGCCCCACGTTTCTTTGCTCTCTTCCGCAGACCACAGAGGACGAGCCTTCCGACAAAGACGCCCTGCAGCCTGGCCGCAATATCGTGGCCGCAGGCTACGCGCTCTACGGCAGCGCGACCTTGGTGGCTCTTTCCACGGGACAGGGAGTGGACCTCTTCATGCTGGACCCAGTGAGTAGCAAAGCCAGTGGCACCTGCACCTGGGGACACCATGGGCCTCTGTGGCTGCCTCCCAGTGTCCTGGGATAATTTCCTGGTTGTTCCTAGTACTTGCTTTGCGGGCTGGGGAGGGTCACCGGGGAGCCGGTACCAACATGAAGGAAGACATCAAAGTCCTCTCTCTGAGTGAGGGCGTTTGGGGGAGAGCCCTGTAGCATCAATGGAGGCCTCTGGGTAAGGTGGAAAATGCAACAGCGCAATCCTGGTCGCAGGCAGAAATCACTGGCTAGAGACTGAGTATTAAGAACACAATGCCAGCCAGCGCCGCGGCTCACTAGGCTAATCCTCTGCCTGCGGCACCTGCACCCCGGGTTCTAGTCCTGGTCGGGGCGCCGGATTCTGTCCCGGTTGCCCCTCTTCCTGTCCAGCCCTCTGCTGTGGCCAGGGAGTGCAGTGGAGGATGGCCCAAGTGCTTGGGCCCTGCACCCCATGGGAGACCAGGAGAAGCACCTGGCTCCTGGCTTTGGATCAGCGCAGTGCGCCGGCCGCAGCAGCCATTGGAGGGTGAACCAACAGTAAAAGGAAGACCTTTCTCTTTCTTTCTTTCTCTCTCTCTCTCTCACTGTCCACTCTGCCTGTCAAAAAAAATTAAAAAAAAAAAACAAACCACGATGCTGAATCTCAGTAGCGTATGCACCGTAACAATGATTGGGAGAAATTTTGGAAAAGATTTTTAAGTTACAGAATTTCTCTTTTCAATGCTACATGCTTTTGTCTATTACCAGAGAGCTTCTTTGTCGATATAATCAAGTCTCGTGAAAATTCAAAGCCTCTGGTGTTTACCTAGTGAAAAGCTCAGTATTTCCAATTTTTTTAAAGATTTATTTTATTTATTTTAAATACAGAGTTACAGAGAGAGAGAGGTCTTCCATCCGCTGGTTCACTTCCCAGTTGGCCACAATGGCCAGAGCTGTGCCGATCCCAAGCCAGGAACCAGGAGCTTCTTCCAGGTCTCCCATGCGGGTGCAGGGGCCCAAGCACTTGGGCCATCTTCTGCTGCTATCCCAGGCCACAACAGAGAGCTGGATCGGAAGAGGAGCAGCCAGGACTAGAACCAGCGCCCATAACGGATGCCAGCACTTCAGTCCAGGGCTTTAACCCGCTGCGCCACAGCGCCGGCCCCCAGTATTTCAATTTAAGTAAGATTTACCAGTGTTGACTGAGCACCTACTATATCCCGAAGCAGCACTAGGCAGTGGTGATGTAGCTCTCACCCAACCAACACTCCTGCCCGCATGAAGTGTCCACGTCGGTGCATAGGTGTGGGACGTTGGGGGGTTGCAGTGTCTCAAGAACAGAACAGAGTTTCTTCAGAGTTCCCGGATCTGCATAGTTTTCAAAATGCTTTGCATTACAGTAAACTTGCCCTGGACTTTTTCGAGGACTCTTGTGCAGTCTTTTCACATATAGACTAGGAGTGCTTGCTGAGCCAGTTTACTGGTGCTGTAATTTCTGTGATTTTCGGAGAAGGAGGCAAATCCCAAGACATTCTACGGCTTATTCATATTACCCTCAGACAATGAAGAGTGCTTTCTAAAACGGTTCCGGAATGCCAGCCAGCAGTCAGATCATGCTGCCTAAGTGGTGGGCGGCTATCTGTCCCAAGCAATCTGCCTCTATTGAGACATATAGAGTTCATAGCCGCTCTATGAGGGGCTCCTACTGTTAGTCCCATGTTCGGATGAGGAAAGTAAGGTGCAGCAAGGGTGGGCAACTTGCCCAAGATCATGCCAGCGACAGGTGTTGCTGGGATGCACTTCACGACTCATTCTGAACATGCTGCCCTTGAGGGCAAGGGAAATATCCAGAACATTCTGAAGCAGTTCTAGAGGCCATGGGCAGGTGTGCGGGGTGGGGAGGAGCCTGTGGCTCAGGGTCCAACTCAAGGACTCAGGCACAGTCTCTGCATTCGGTCTCCCACTGGGACAGGAGAGCCAAACTGGGCCAGAGACAGGCACAGAGCTTGTGTCGTGACGGCAAGAGGAGGTGCACCATAGCCTGACCTCTCAGTGTTAGCTTGAGACCCTCTGGGTCACTCCACTCCACTGCACAGGACATTTGAGCACAGGCCCTGTTTGCAAAGTCTGGAACATTTTGGGGGATGTGTACTTGGAGCTACAGGAACTTCCGGCAATGGTCACAGACAGAAAGGGCCTGGGAGGTGACCGGCAGCTCACGGAGGTGGTCTCATGGGACAGAGTTAGTTTCCAGTGCTATTAACTGGGGCCCGTTGCATCCATGGGTTTATGGGGTGATGCTTTGATCTGGGGCACAGAGGCCCCACTTCTTGTTCACCAAACTTTGCAGTACAGGTGCACCTCAAAGTCAAGGCATTAAGTTTCACATGGGAGCTATGGTTTCTGAATGACAAGTGTGCCTGGTGCCTGGTGATCAGGTCCCCTCTTATCCAAGTGTGTGGGGACCACGTTACTACTCAGTGGCTGTTGGTGACCACACGGCATGAAGGGTCATGCTTCCCAGGCATGGGAAGGTGCCATAGCTGTCCCATCCCATGATAGGGGACAGAGCTGCAGGGGCTTGTGCGTCCCTTGGACAGACGAGACCTGCCCATTGTGGCAGCAGGGGCTCCTCCTCCAGCTAAGGGGACAGTTGTGTTTCTGCCATGCTGCTTGCTGATAAACTAGAGGGCCGTCGAGTCCCTTCTGCACCTGCTGAGTATCCTGGTCACTGCTTTGTTTCCGACACGATCAGCCTGGCCCTGGCTCTCTCTGCTCGGGGAGTGTTTGTGTTCCTCAGCATCTCGTGGTCTCGCTGCGAGCTGCCATCTCGGGAGTTCTTTTCCTGCTTAAGGTTTTTGACATGCGTCAAGATGAGGCTGGTTTCCCAAAATTTCCTTCTGGTGACCCAGGGCACGTCAGTGTTGGAGGCGAACTCTGCGCCAGTGGGGCAGACGCCCTGTCACCAGCTCAGGCCCCGTCCCCAGACCCGGTAAACGGGTGCCTGGTGTGGCTGTAGGGTAGCTGGGCAGAATTCTGTAACAACTTGGTAGATTTTTCTAGTTTTTTTTTTTTAATTGTAACTAATTTTTAATGCTGAGTGAACGTAGTTTCTGAGGCAAGAGCTTTCTTCTTGTCCCCAGATATCGGGATACCAACAACTTTTCATTAAGATCAAATAACTGGACCACAAACTAATAGTCAAACTGTGCCTGCTCCCCATAGTGTGAGTTCTTCTCTCATTGCGGATGGTTGCTGGCTCACACCTTCCCGAACATACTAACTTGGGTTAATATGAGAACCTGGGGGATGTTCCAACTGTGGTCCTTAGCAATCGGCAGCCTCGTTGACAATGGAACACAGGCAGGTAAATAAAGAAGATTGCAGATCCTCTTGCCCTTGAACTAGGTTACCTCTTGTTCTGCTACTCCTGGAGCTGCCTGTGGCACCTCCGTCTCGTTGCTGTTCTTTCTACCCTGCTGTGAAGTGACACCAGACCAGGGCAAGCTCCAGGACGGCACAGTGACCCCAGGTCCCCGCTGCGGGTGCCCGTCTCCCACTGTTCTCCCGCGGTTGTGGAGTGTGCGGCTGGCTTCTGTCTCCTGGCCCCTCTTAGCATCATATTGTCTCTCTCCATCTTTCCAGGCTCTTGGTGAGTTTGTCCTGGTGGAGAAAGATGTTAAGATTAAGAAGAAGGGGAAGATTTTCAGCCTCAACGAGGGCTATGCCAAGTATTTCGATGCAGCCACCACGGAGTATGTGCAGAAGAAGAAATTCCCCGAGGTGAGTGCAGGAAGCGAAGGCTTATAGCGGGGAGAGTCCTGCCCCAGTGGGGTCCCTTTAGGGGGTAGTTTTGGGGGCCTGGGTGAAAGAGGTTGGTGCCACTGTTTGTCGCTCTGCACAGTATGAGTTTGGAGCAGTCAGCTTGTTTTTAGTTACAATTACAAGTGGAGTTTCTTGGAGACAAATCATTGCTTTGGGTCCTGGCGCTGTTCCAGACTCCAGCTTCCTGCTCATGTGCACCCTGGGAGGCACAGCACTGGCCCCGGTAGCAGGGTCCCTGCCGCCCAAGTGGGAGATCTGGCTCCTAATCTCGGCCTGGCCCAGCCCCAGCTGTTGCGGGCAGAGAAATCTCTCTCTATCTGTCTCTGTCTCCCTCTGTCACTCTGCCTTTCAAATAAACAAAAACTAAAAATAAATGTACCATGGAGAAGTTTAATGAAAAAATAAAAAGGAAGCAGGGACACGTTTTCAAAATGCAGAGGTTCAGGCTGGCCCTCGCTCAGGCTCATTTGCTTGGTAGGCTACAGCTCAGTTACCTTGGCTCTTAGATGGAATAATAGCATTTGGAAGTTCAAGTCACTTGCTGTAACACTGGCCCCTGTGTTTAGGCAAGTTTCAGGACTTCGATGGGCTCTCTGCACCTGATCCCTGCGTTTTGGAAGTCACGTGGCTGTGAACCCAGCCCACACAGTCCCTTTAGGATGTCTGCTGCGTGGCTGTGAGGCCAGAGGCAAAGAACTTCCAGACCAAGAGTGGGAAGTGGGGCCCAGGTTGGGAGCGGAGTGAAGCCGGTTTACCAGTTGGCCGGCTCCTCCCCAGCTCTGAGGTATGCAGTGAGAGGGGGTCGTTTGTCCTCAGACCAGCTGTCCCTGCAGCTCCAGGGAAAAAGAGCTCAGGATTTCATGGGCCTGGTGGCACTCAGTCCTCAGGACGCTGGGGCCTGGCTTTGCTGCCTGAAACAGAAGCTTCAGCGAGTTTTCTTCCTTCTTTCTTTCTTGGATTTTTAGAGATAAATTCTCAGCAATGCAATTTCCTGTCCTGTTCCCTCACAGGGCATTATTTTGCCATAGCAGCCACGTCTTGAGGCTCAAGGGACAGGATTTGACTGTGGTGTTGTTGGTGAAGTCAACATTATTCTCAAGTTCCCAGACTTAGCGATGGCTTCAGAGTGGTTCCAAGTCTAGGCTAAAAAATAAAAATGCTGTCTCCTAAAGAAAGGTATTTATTGAGCATGGAAAAGTACCACTTCTGTGGGAAAAAACACCTTTTTGAAGGGTAAGTTGCAGGCAGAACTACCACACATGAGGGTGTTATGAAAAAACTGTGCCTGAATTTCAAAGTAGTTTTGCACCAAAATAAAGTCCTCTTTTAATGCCATTCCCCCTGGTCTTTTTGAAGCGCCCTTATGTATGTAACAGACACATGGGGGTGACCAGTTTAGCTTTTCAAGGAACTTCTTATCACTTGATAAGGTGAGGATGAGAACCAGGCAAACAGAATGACTTTGCAAGTGGTGGAGGCAACATTTGCATTTAAGCAGCCAAAGGGAAGAAGCTGAGAAAGAAAGAAATGCGAATTAAAAAAGCAGCCTCCTGGTCTCATTTCCACAGGTGACACTGGTAAAGCTTTGAAAGCTAAACGGGGCTCAGTGGTGTAGGAAAACAAGCCCTCTGGTAAATTCTTAGAAGATAAATGTGACCGCATTTTCTGAAGGCATTCTGGCAAAGTGTTGGCAAAGATTTCAGATCTGTATCTTCTTGCTCAACAGTTTATCCTAAATTCCCCCAGGAATGTGTCCCCTGGGAAAGGTCAAGGAGGTATGTGAAAGTCTCATTCAGTAGGGCTTCTTCATGGACGTGGGCAGCTCCGTCTTTGTCTATTGATAGGGAGATGTGTCCACAAAATTTTAAGAAATGTATGGCAGAGCTAAATGTAAATATGTTGTATGTATCCCTTATATGCTCACATATGCAGGTTCTTCAGGAAGTTCATGGGAAATGGAATTAAAATATAAGGGCTTCTTTTATGCCTCGAAGTTTGAAGTCCACGCGTAGTTTTCTTCATAATTTACATTTCTATGAATGTTTTGAAGACTGTTCATATGGACGCGCGCGTGTGTGTGTGTGTATGTGTGTGTGTATACACACACATACACATGAGGTCACCTCAAAAAGTTTGGGGAAAATGGAATTCATGTAAGTTTGATTTGGTGCAAAATATTGAAATCTATTCATGGTTTTTCATAACTTACATTTCCCATGAACTTTTTTTTTTAATTTTATATATTTATTTGAAAGGCAGAAAGAGAGAGAGAGAGAGGGAGAGAGGGAGGTTTTCCATCTGCTGGTTCACTCCACAGATGGCCACCACAGCTGGAGCTGCACTGGTCCAAAGCCAGGAGCCAGGAGCTTTTTCTAGGTCTCCCATGCGGGTGCAGGGGCCCAAGGACTTGGGCAGTCTTCTACTGCTTTCCCAGGCCATGAGAGCTGGATTGGAAGTGGAGTAGCAGGAACTCAAACTGGCACCCATATGGGGTGCTGACCCTGCAAGTGGCAGCTTTACCCGCTACAGCACAGTGTCAGCCCCTGAAATATTGTGACGAGAACCAGAAGAACCCCAAAGCTCTAAAACAAGGGAAGCTTTGCAGTTTTACAAAGCAGAGTGAACGCTCTGAGGGGAGTGACGGAGTTTTCCCACAGATACTCCAGGAGTGGAGCAGACTGACTGGGTCTGAGTTTTTCAAACACTTTTTGACTATAACTGCTAAGAAATGTATTTCACATCCAACTCAGAACACAGGTGCATGAATGTGCATGCACTCACACACACACACACACACACAGGCACAACCAAAAGTGAAACGACCTACCTAACTACGCTAGTGCACTCTAACACATTTTTTCCCTATTCTATTCTATTCTATTCTATCCATTCCATTCCATTCCATTCCATCCCATTTGTTTTGGTTCTATTTCATTTTAATAACATGAACTAATAGACACTGATTGTAAAGACTTTATGACCCAATATAGATTTCCATCTACAGAGAAAAAGTGCTGTATTAGGGAGCACTTTCACTAGATCCTAAGATTAATCCAGAAATCCAAAATGAAGACAGTAAAGTAAAATAAGACAATGAGAAGTATATGCATTAGATACAGAATATATAAACTTTACTTAGGTAGTTATAAGTTGACTTACGTATTATTGGAATCAGTGTGCAACTCAATTTTAATACCAGATTTTTTTAATCTTCTCTTATTCTACATTGCCCTGGTTCCCCCCAATACCTGGTAACAATTTCAACCTCAGGGATTCTAGTTTTCCCAAGGATAGGTCCTTTTATCCCTTAATTAAATGAGAAGCCTAATTGAAGTGAGGGAGTGCATTATTAGGTTCTTGTCAGACTCTTGCCTTGTACATAAAGAAGCATTCTAAGCATTCTTTGTGCATATTAGGTGCACAAAGTGATAAAGTTTTATTTAAAAGCTGAGAAAGTGAACACACACACATTAGGCATGCATTGCCCCACACAGAGAAATACCCACCCTTTTGTTTTTAAAATGAATGTTAGCCTATTGAGAAACTTTAAAAATAGTACTTTCAAAGGAAAGCAGTGGAGACCCAGGGAGTCAGCATTGTGGCTGGCATCCCATATCAAAGTGCTGGTTCAAGTCCTGGCTGTTGTGTTTATGATCCATGTGCATGGGAAGGCAGAGGAAGATGGCCCAAGTACTTAGGACCCTGCCACCCCCACAGAGAGCCTGAATGGAGTTCCTAGCTCCTGACTTTGTCTGGGTCCAGCCCCAGTTGTCACAGCTATTTGGGGAGTGAACCAATGGATGAAATAGCTCTGTCTCTCCCCTTTCTATTGTCACTCTTCTTTTAAATAAATAAAATAAGCCCTTTAAAAGCCTGAATTACAGTCGAGGTGGAGACAATGTGTAAAACTGTTGTTTCAGAGAACGTGGCTGAGAAGTGTAGAAGAAAGGGGGAGTGGCTAAGAACACGGGCTCATTTTTGTTTTTTAACATCAGCTCTTCATCCTTTGCTCACTCCAGCGTGTGTTTAAGACTCTCAGAACAGTAAAGTTTCTGCTACCAAACAAAATACTTACTTTGAACATTGCCTTAACTTGTCATTCTACCTACATAGTCCAGGCTGAATTAATTCCCAGCTTCGTCAGAATTTTCCACCTCCCCTGTACTGTCAGAGAATTGCTGCACTAAACACAGATATCAGAGATGGGAAACCAAATGAAGATGAAAGACGAAATGAAGCTGTGCCCTACTGCCTACTCCTGGCTTTCAGAGAAATTGTTGAATGATCTTCAACTTACTTTTCTGTTAAAAAATAAATCTCACGGCCAGCGCCGCGGCTCACTAGGCTAATCCTCTGCCTTGCGGCGCTGGCACACCGGGTTCTAGTCCCGGTCGGGGCGCTGGATTCTGTCCCGGTTGCCCCTCTTCCAGGCCAGCTCTCTGCTGTGACCTGGGAGTGCAGTGGAGGATGGCCCAAGTGCTTGGGCCCTGTACCCCATGGGAGACCAGGAGAAGCACCTGGCTCCTGCCATCGGATTAGCGCGGTGCGCCGGCCGCAGCGCGCCAGCCCTGGCGGCCATTGGAGGGTGAACCAACGGCAAAAGGAAGACCTTTCTCTCTGTCTCTCTCTCTCACTGTCCACTCTGCCTGTCAAAATAAATAAATAAATAAAAATAAAAAAATAAGTCTCACAACACGTGTGAGTAATGAAATCGACGTTTACAAGCAAATTGTTCTGCTTGTTTGGAGTGATCTGCCTCGGTTTAAAATCTTGCCGGGGAGAAACACTGCTTGCAGCCAGTGCAGAAGTGGTCATTGCTCAAGGAGTCCTGGTTCTCAGAACGCAGCAGGTCCTACGAGCTGCCACAAGTCAAGCCGGAGCTACAGGGGGCTGCCCACGGTGGTGATTGGCACGCACAGTTGCGCCTTGGCCTCCAGTGGACATGGGTTTTAGGATCCCCCATAGATTCCCGGGTCAAGGGTGCTCAAGTCCCTTAGATAAAATGAAGCAATATTCCACATGCTGTCAATCATGTCTAGTTACTTATAATACCTCACACAAGGCACTTGCCGTGTAAAAAGTTGCTACGCTGTAGTGTTTAGGGAATAATCACAAGGGAAGGACCCTGTATACGTTCAGTACAGATGCAAAATTTTAAAATATTTTCAATCCAGGGTTGGTTGTGGATGTGGGGCCAGCAGGTGTGTAGGGTGGATTATATTTCCTACTGTTTTCCGCTTAGCTGCTCTATTAAAAATTGCAATGGAATATTGTCACTCCCTTTAAGTAGTCCTGCATTTAATGAGCGCAATCACCGGTTGAGATTTGAGGTGCTCTTTTTTTTAAGGTTTATTTTATTTATTTTGAAAGGCAAAGTGGAACAGAGAGAGGGAGAGACACAAAGAGAAAGAGATAGTCTATCCGCTGGGCCACTCCCCAGTTGGCTGCAACCAGGCTGAAGGCAGGAGCCAGGAACTCTGTCTGGGTCTCTCCATGGGTAGCAGTAGCAGGAGCCTGAGCCCATCTTCTGTTGCCTTTCCAGGAGCTTTTATGGAGAGCTGGATAGGAAACAGAGTAGCTAGAACTGGGACCCCTGCTCTAACATGGGGTGCTGGCTTTGAAAGAGGCAGCTTAACCTACCGCACCACACTGCTGGCTGCTTGAGGGGCTCTTACTGAATGAGTGCTCAGTTGTGTAATATTTTCAATGCCTTCGGTGGTGGGTGGAGGAGGAAGGGCCAGGCATGCAGAGGCCACACCAACTGAACATGTGGGCCTGGAGCTGGTGCTGGCCGGTTGTCAAATGCACTGGATCTTGTGTCTTCTCTCTGTGCCTTCTAGGACGGCAGTGCGCCCTATGGGGCTAGGTACGTGGGCTCCATGGTGGCTGATGTGCACCGCACCCTGGTCTATGGAGGGATCTTCCTGTACCCAGCCAACCAGAAAAGTCCTAAAGGCAAGGTAATGCTCCCTTCGCTCCTCTCCGGCTGGGTATCCGGTCAGTGAGCCAACGGGGGTCCCTTCTTACACCTGCTGCTGGCCTCTGTGGGAGTGGGCGCAGACGAGGAGTAAGGTGCATTTCCCACTGGTGGGTTTGGGGCTGTGGTGGAAGGTTGGAGAAGGGGAAAGCTGACGGGATCGTGACGGGTGAGTCTCACTGCCTTTCACCTCCTCTGGCCTCATCATGCTCATTGTTTGCTGAGTCAGCATTACCCGCCTGTCACTTCCACAGCCTGTGATCAACTGGTTTGGAATCAAGTACCCCTTAGAGAACCTAATGGCACTTATCAACTCAATTCCCAGGCAGAACGCATTGCATGTGCTCATTGCATGTAATAAGCGTTTTTTTTTTTTTTTTTTTTTTGACAGGCAGTGAGAGAGACAGAGAGAGAGAGAGAGAGAGAGAGAGAGAAAGGTCTTCCTCTGCCGTTGGTTCACCCTCCAATGGCCGCCACGGCCGGCGCACTGCGCTGATCTGAAGGCAGGAGCCAGGTGCTTCTCCTGGTCTCCCATGGGGTGCAGGGCCCAAGCACTTGGGCCATCTTCCACTGCACTCCCTGGCCACAGCAGAGAGCTGGCCTGGAAGAGGGGCAACCGGGACAGAATCCGGCGCCCCGACCGGGACTAGAACCCAGTGTGCTGGCGCCGCAAGCAGAGGATTAGCCTAGAGAGCCGCGGCACTGGCCAATAAGCATTTTCAAGGGGTCATGGAAGCCTTCTGGTCTACCCAAGAGTCCCCTACAAGCTGACAAACTGCAGAGTCAGAACTGCTCAGAACTCACTATTTCTGGAAAGGTAGCTCCTGGAAGATCCAACTGCAACTATGACACGAAATGGAAAACACTTATTACCAGGTGGGCGTCTTGGGATCCAAACCCTCCTCTCTCGGAGAGAACCCGCCCCACCCTGGAAATGTGTCTGAATTTTAGCCAATCACTGGAATCTCCAGTAAGCAATCAAATCATGCAAAGATTTGCCATTTAAAAATATTTATTTATTTATTTATTTGAAAGGCAGAGTTACAAACAGGCAGAGAGAGAGAGAGAGAGAGAGAGGTCTTCCATCTGCTGGTTCACTATCCAAAAGGCTGCAAAGGCTGGAACTGGGCCAATCTGAAGCCAGGACCTACGTACGAGCTTCTTCCAGGTCCCGCACATGGGTGCAGGTGCCCAAGGACTTGGGCCATCTTCTGCTGCCTTCCCAGGCCCTAGCAGAGAGCTGGATTGGAAGTGGAACAGCTGGGACTTGAACCAGTGCCCATATGAGATGCTGGCACTGCAGGCAGCAGAGGCTTTACTGGCTATGCCTCAGTGCTGGCCTCAAGATCTTCCATTTTTGCCATCACACCCACAACTAGGCACATAACGCCTGTGGCTGTTGAGCTTCAAATTATTGGAAAACTAGACTCAAAGCTAGGGAAGGAAATCTAGCACACAAGACCTGAGAAATTATTTTTAAGACATCAGTTGATGCATCAGGCACTTGTCTTCATGTAGTGTTTATCCATTGTGTATTAATCTATCATATTTGTAGTTAATCTGTAATTAATTATATGAACTAAGAATCTCAACCACATCATACAAGAGCTGCGGGAGAGAAAGAGCTAGGGAGTTGTAAGTGAGATCAGGGAGAAGATGTGGAAATTCTAAAACAGAACCACCCTTGTCACATGGTTCTAAGTGTGGAGAACATGAAGGCTAATAATTAGTAACTATGAAAATGATTACAAGTGAGTCAGAAAGTATCTATTTGTAACTGCATAAACTATTTGTAAGCACGTGTAGCTGTGTATATAGGACTGGACCTGTCTACGTGTTCCAGCCCTGATGGTCTTTGATCACACCTGTGTGCATGTGTGTGTGTGTGTGCGTGTGTGGAATCCTCTCCTACCCGGGCTTGTCTTTCTCTCTCTATTCACATGGATTGTGGCTGCAGAACAATGACTCCCATGATGCCCTGGTGCCTGGATAATAAGGCCATTCCCTTACATCTGATGTCAGAGTCAGAGTTACTTGGTTTCAAGATACGTGCATTGTGCAACTGCCGAGTTTTACAATGTCTGCATCAACAGGCTAATTGCTTACAGTCTGAGACTTTACTCTCTAGCACCCCAAGCTCCCCTGTCCTGGAGCCCCCAGGGCAGAGGAAGGGGAGAGGAGAGATCCGAGCTCTATAAGCTACCTAAGTGAAGGTCTTTCTAGCCAGACTGTTGGGGACAGCGTGGCCTCCAATGTCACTCGGACAAAACCAGGTGACCCAAGTCACCCAGCCCTCATGCACTGGGCCTGGCCAGGTGCTCTCTGCTCCAAGAACGGGAGGTATAGAGGGAGGCCCTGCTACGCTGAGTGACCAAAATGGCAGTAAATGCCCCCTGGAGTCTTTTTTTTAATTATTTGACAGGTAGAGTTATAGACAGTGAGAGAGAGACAGAGAGAAAGGTCTTCCTTCCACTGGTTCAATCCCCAAATGGCCGCTTACAGCTGGCGCTCCGCAGATATGAAGCCAGGAGCTTCCTCCTGGTCTCCCATGGGGTGCAGGGCCCAAGCACTTGGGCCATCCTCCACTGCACTCCCGGGCCACAGCAGAGAGCTGGACTGGAAGAGGAGCAACCAGGACTAGAACCCGGCGCCCATATGGGATGCCAGCGCCACAGGCGGAGGATTAACCAAGTGAACCACGTGCCAGCTCCCCTCTGGAGTCTTAACCCAATCTCTCCTGAACACCTGACTCTCCCAGCCAGACCAAAGATAGTAGTCCTCTCCTGAAAATAAGAATCCAAGCAAAAGCACAAGATATGACTGTTTCTCAAAGCAGTTTTTCCAGATAAAACTTTCTATTAATAATAATTATACATATTTATGGGCTATCATGTGACATTTCAATACATGGATACAGTAGGTACCTATCAAAGCAATGTGGTCAACATTTCTCCTTCTTTGACATCACTTTATGATTAGAAGCTTGTAGCTTCTTTCTTCTATTTGGTCATAGAATATTTACTAGGATTTCATGAGTGACAGTCTCCCCACTGTGCTATGTTAACGCTAGGAACTTATTCTTTCAATCTTGCTCTGACTTGGTATCTGTTATTCAAGTTCCCTCTAAACCCCTTCCCCCTCCCAGCCTCTAGTCATCACCATTCTGTGTTGAGACTGATTTTGTTTTAGCATCTGCATATGAAGGAGGATGTAGTATTTTTCCTTCCATGTCTGGCTTATTTCATTTAACATGGTGTCTTCTAGTTCTATCCATTTTGCTGGAAATGACAAGGTTTCATTCTTTTTCTTGGTTGAGTAGTATCTGATGATGAACACACTGATTGATTCCATATCTTGCCTATTGTAAACAGTGCTGCTATAAACATGGTGGAGCAGGTATCTCCTTGATACAATGCATTGATGTTTTCTGGGGGACATACCCAGTAATGGGATTACCGGGTCATACGTTAAGTCTATTTTGAGTTTTTAAAAGAAATCTCTATTCTGTTTTCCACAGTGGCTGCACTAATTTACACTCCCACTAAGAGTGTACAAGAGTTTCCCTTTTTCCACTTCCTCACCGTTATTTGTTACTCTGTTTTTGATATCAACTCTTCCAATGGGTGAGGTGAGATCACATAGCTTCAAAAATGGACTTGAATGGAAAGGAAAAGCTTGCACAAAGCTGGGCCAACCACTTTGTAAGCAGACTGTAGAGAATGAACTCTTTTGGGTAGAAGAAGATGCTGTGATGTGGAGTTGGGGCACAGCAGCTGCATACCACTGGAAAGTCACCCTGGGTCTACTGTGATGGGTGTGTGTGCCTGTGAGTGTGTGTCTCGTGGTGATGGTGGCCATAGGACTCACAACATAACAGAAAAGGACCCCTAAGACACTCAGTCCGACCCCATCCACTTCAGCTCATTGTGTACTCTTGGGACACGAGAGTACACTTCGTATGGCTTAGGGAGACACTGCTTCCCCTGGCCAGGCGGAGCCCTGGCCCCTCGTGCAGAGCTGGCCAAGCAGGGTGCAGGCTTGACTTCAGCTCCCTCCTCCGCCCTCAGCTGGGAGATCTTGTGAGAGATGTGCTGTGACCTTGTTTGGACGCTTGCTTTGTGTCAGACATGACTGGGAATGTAGAGACAATGATAGTGGGAAAGAAGCGGGGTGTTAAACCTCTGAGTGATGGCTGTTACAAAAGGTGGTGAACAGGATGCAGCAGGATTCCAGTTAGTGTAAGAGGTCAAAAGAAAAGACCACTTGGGGTCCCAGAAAGCTCTTTGGCTAAGGCTGGAGGTGTGGAGTTCTCCATGTCATCCCAGCCACATGGTTATTTGCAGAGAGAGAGAGCACCTGGCACATTCATCCAAGCTTCTTGACTCCCCACTCGCCATAAGCCTCACATACAAAGCTTCCACCTGTGCCTGCAGAATCCACTGGCCTCATTGCTGGACTAACAAGAAATGGGTCCCGAGGTCTCCTATCTGCAAGGCCAGAGATGGGTTTCTCATAAGCAGAGGTCAGCAGGCAGGCGAGAACATGGCCAGGGGTGCCCCCAAAGGCGTATGTGCTGAGTCCCAGCCGATGCATCAGCCTCCTCAAGCTGGGTCTGCAGTACAGGCAGCCCACCTGCTCACAGGCATGCAAAAGTGCAACCATGCTTGCAGGGCAGGCGAGCCCAGCAGTCACATCTTCCTTGAGCTGGAGGGGCATAGCCAGGAGGGGTTGGCCACTCGCAAAGCGTACCCACCTCGTGCCTCTGTTTCCCCCACAGCTCCGGCTCCTGTATGAGTGCAATCCCGTGGCCTACATCATCGAGCAGGCAGGAGGCCTCGCCACCACTGGCACGCAGCCAGTCCTGGATGTGAAGCCCGAGTCCATTCACCAACGAGTCCCCCTCATCCTGGGCTCCCCAGACGATGTACAGGAGTATCTCGCCTGTGTACAGAAGAACCAGGCAGGCAGGTAGTGAGTCTGACCCCACGAGTCCTCTTCTTTCGTTGTGGACTAAGAACCCTAAGTGAGCGAACCATGGAAATGGTGGTGTTGAGAAAGCAGCAGCCAAATCCACTGAACCCCCCAGCAACATACTGCGAACCACCGGGTGTAGATCCAGACGTCGCTCTGTGTCAGTGTAAAAGGCTGCAAATAAAAATAAAAACCCACCTGGGAAAAGAGCAACTGTGATTTGTCTTCTGTCATGAACCTTGGCAAATGGGGTTGCAGCTCTGTCAGCCGGAGCAATTGCCAGGTTTCCACTTGAGAGAGTGGCGTGCGTAGGTCAGTTAAGAATTTGTCTTGGTTGAAATTTGAACCTAGTGTCTTATCCTATGGTGATTCATTTGTACATCTTTTTTGAACAAGAATTTCTGTGTAGGTACATGGACATGGAAGTCTAAAGATTGTGTAGTGACATATTGACAAATTCAGAAGTATTTTTAAACATTTTGTTTGCTTATTTAATTTGAAAGGCAGGGAGAGGAGAGAGACAAAGAGAGATCTCACATCTGCTGGTTCAACCCCCGATGCCCAGACAGCTGAGCAGGGCTGAAGCCAGGAACCTGGAACTCAATTCAAGTCTCCTGCGGTTATCAGGAACTCAAGTCCTTGAACAACCAACTGCTGCTCTCCAGAGCATGCATTAGCAGGAAGCTGGATTACAAGTAGACCTGGGGCCAGCGCCGCGGCTCACTAGGCTAATCCTCCGCCTGCGGTGCCGGCACACCGGGTTCTAGTCCCGGTCGGGGCGCTGGATTCTGTCCCGGTTGCCCCTCTTCCAGGCAAGCTCTCTGCTGTGGCCTGGGAGTGCAGCGGCCATTGGAGGGTGAACCAACGGCGAAAGAACACCTTTCGCTCTGTCTTTCTCTCTCTCACTGTCCACTCTGCCTGTAAAAAAAAAAAAAAAAAAAGTAGACCTGGGACTCTGGGACTCAGATCTGCAGACTCCAAATGGGATGCAGGTAGATTAAGTACAGCAGTAGATTAAGTGTTGCAGCATAAGCCTGGCCCCAGGAGTATTAGAAACAAGGATAAATCCCAGTAAACTTTAACCCAGAAATTCAAGAACAATTCAACATTAGGAAACCTATTAGAGCCGTTCAGTTTGTGGGGATGGTGGATTGGCTAGGAGAAGCCAAAGCAGGGAGCAAACCCTTCCTTTCCCACTTTAGCTTTGGGCAGGGTGGTTTGCACAGCCCGAAGGCATATTTCCACTTGGGTGTATTTGTGCACTCAACGTCGCTCCTCCATGCACTGTGAGTGGTCAATTGTAGCAAAATTATAATGTCCTATTAAAACATAAGAAACAAAGATATTATTTTTCTAGGAATAATTCGGATTCCAACCAATGGGCTCTTCATACTTTATTAGATATTTCATTTATATCCCAAAGATTCCAACTGAAATATGCATTTCAAAATATGTTACAGAGGGGCAGGCATTGTGGTGCAGCAGGGTAAGCCACAGCTTGGGACACTTGCATGCTGTATCAGAGTGCTGGTTCAAGTCTTCGGCCATACCATGCCTGATCTCGTCTGATCTCAGAAGTGAAGCAGGGTCAGGCCTGGTTAGTACTTGGATGGGAGAGTGGAAATTCAAGTCCTGGCTATTCTGCTTCTGATCCAACTTCCAACTAATACACCCGGGAAGGCAGGGGATGGTGGCCAAGTACTTGGGCCCCTGCCACACAAATGGGAACCAGGATGGAGTTCCTGGCTCCTGGCTTTGGCCTGGACCAACTCCAGCTGTTGCGGGCATTTGGGAATTTAAACCAGGGGATGGAATCCCTTGGTCTCTCTCTCTCTCCTTCTATCTCTCTCTCTCACTTTTTTTTTTTTTTTTTTTTTTTTTTTTTTTTTTTACAGGCAGAGTGGACAGTGAGAGAGAGAGACAGAGAGAAAGGTCTTCTTTTGCCATTGGTTCACCCTCCAATGGTCGCTGCAGCCGGCACACCGCGCTGATCCAAAGGCAGGAGGCAGGTGCTTCTCCTGGTCTCCCATGGGGTGCAGGGCCCAAGCACTTGGGCCATCCTCCACTGCACTCCCTGGCCACAGCAGAGAGCTGGCCTGGAAGAGGGACAACCGGGACAGAATCCGGCGCCCCAACCGGGACTAGAACCTGGTGTGCCGGCGCTGCAAGGCGGAGGATTAGCCTAGTGAGCCGCGGCGCCGGCCTCTCTCTATCACTCTTTCAAATAAGTAAATAAAATAAATCTATCTTAAATGCCGTATGAATACTTTGATTTGGTGAGTCTGTGGCATGTAGTGTCAGAAGAGTTGTAGGAAACAGAGCTAAGTAACACCTTCCCTCGTGGGGTATGTGCCTCTGAAGAAAGTGCAGATAGGCTCAGGCAAAGATCCATTGCCATGCATATGCATTCTTTTTTTAAAGATTGATTTATTTATTTACTTGAAAGTCAGGGTTACACAGAGAGAAAAGAGAGGCAGAGAGAGAGAGAGAGAGAGGGAGAGAAAGTCTTTCATGCGCTGGTTCACTCCCCAGAGGGCTGCAACTGATCCGAAGCCAGGAGCCAGGAGCTTCTTCCGGGTCTCCCACGTGAGTGCAGGGGCCCAAGGACTTGGGCCATCTTCTACTGCTTTCCCAGGCCACAGCAGAGAGCTGGATTGGAAGTGGAGCAGCCGGGACTCGAACCAGCGCCCATATAGGATGCTGGTGGTGCAGGCGGCGGCTTTACCTGCTACGCCACAGCGCCGGCCCCTCATACTCATTCTTAAATGCTGAAGCTCTTCTGGGTGGGTGTCTGCACTCCACAAAGAAGGTGAAAGGCTCGGACTCTCATTCCATTCTCAGAGACAGCATAGCAAACGTTCGAGGTGGGTGGATAAGATGGCAGTGGAGACAGATGCATGTGGACAGCACCTGAGAGCTAAGGTGGCAGATCTCAGTGCCTAGTTTTAGTAAGGAAGCAGAAAGGGAAGGGTTGCTCACGTCACGCCTTTCCCAGCTCCCACTGCGGGGAGGCAGAGGGAGTGAAGTCCATTCCCTGGACTTGAATGCCACCGCCAGCACCGCGCGGCCCTCATCTCCTCAGCTCTCCTCCCGCGGCCCTGGCTCCTGGGACCGACGGCCACTCTCTGCTGAGACCCTGCCTCTCCGCCTCTTCTCACCACCGCCACTCTGGCTGGGGTCTGTCTCCCTCCTTCCTGGAAGCCCTCCCTGACCCCCACACTGTCTCTGATGTCCCCGCCCCTTGGTGTTGATGACCAGTGCACACAGCCGGTGCTGCCTAACTCCAGCTCTGTCACACGCAGGTCCCCACCCACGGAATGGATTCCACTCAGGAAACTACTGAATGTACCTGCTACCATGCCGGGTAGCATCAGTACAAAGCCCAGACCATTTCACTCCAGATGGGACATTTGTTACTGAGTCAAAAAGTTTGAGATTGGAACACGTGTTGCTGAGGGCCATACAGAGCATCCTGTGTGACCATCAGAGGGACACAGAGGCTGCTGTGGGCTGGGACCCCAGCCCCGTGTTCCACTTCACTCCCTCCTCAGGGATGATGGAGTCTAATATCTAAACATTTCCACCTGCTCCTCACATTTCGTTGAATGGGAATGTGACTTAAAACACACGGTCGATGACCTCTGCACTGCTTTAGTCTACAGAATATGGGAAGCTTTTCCATTGGAAAAAAAAAATATCTTCAAGGATGAGTTAAGCTAGGTTTCCTATGGCCACAGACCCTCGGTTCTGGTCCCTCCTCTGTCTCCCACCCTCCCAGGACACAGCAGTGGGTTTGAAGCCAGCCTCAAAGTCAAGACTGTCCCCTACCCAGCCTTGGGTGCCCTGGGGCCCTGCCCGTCCCCCACTGCAAAGTGGCCACGGTGCCTCCCCCGCAGCTGGGGCCGGGGCTCTGGACCAGGCCTCGCAGGGGCTGCTGGGGGCTGGCCTGGGCTGCAGAAGCGACCGTGACCTCTCAGGCCCTTTTCCAGGAAAGAAATCACATGTGTGTCTAACAAGCGAGGCTGCTCTTCTCTGAAACCATTTCCTTTGTCCTTAGAGATCACTTGTGAGGTTTACAAGGACTGGGAGCGACAGAGGCACAGGCAGGGACACGGATCTGCACGTTCGTAGCCAGAAGAGCTGGCAGGTGCCCCCTCTTTCTCCCCGTGTACCACTGCCACGTTCAGTTCTGTCTGGGGAGCCCCGTTATGGGTTTGACTGCCCAAGAAGTTGATGCACTGAACACAGAGAGAGCACCACGGCTACATTTGAAATTAATTTTATTGAAAAAGGTAAAACTACACATCGTCTCAAATCAAAATTCAAAAGTCATTAGGTGGGTCAATAATACACAGCTGATTCCAGCAGTCATTAAGTAGCAGAAGGATTTCGCTAGAGTAAAATTGTCACAGAATGCGCACCACAGCTGGGATCGTCAGTGTTCCAAGTGCTGTGTCGGTGCGGCCAGGGCCGGTGTGCTGTGGCTCCGCTGGCCTCAGTCCAATCCTTCCTCAGCGCCGTCCATCGACTCACACAGTGGGTAGCTGGCTGCCGTGGCGATTCCGCAGTGGTTGTTCTGGTCTTTGGCCATCTTCATGTAGCCCCCCATGCCCCAGTCTTTACCCCAGCTGAAAGGAGAGCAGGTGTGTCATTTTATCCAAGACCTCTCCATCCAGAAAGCAGAAAAAAAAAAAAAAGGTGTACGTTTACCTTTATTAGTATTTTTTTAAAAAAAGCTAATACTAAATAGTGTTCCAGCAGAACACTGAATCAGCCAGCAGAGGCCAACATTCTCATTTAGCCTTTCTGTTAATTGTTGAATTTAAATCTGAACATAATTTGTATTTCTGTCCCCCAAACAATGACTTTCCACAGAACTGCATAATCAAAGAAAAAAAGGAAACCTTGGGAGCCAGATAGGTTTTTTTTTTTTTTTAGATCTATTTTATTTATTTGAAAGACAGTTACAGAGAGAGAGGTAGAGCCAGAGAGAGAGAGACCTTCCATTGGCTGGTTCACTCCCCAAATGACCACAATGGCCAGAGCTGAGCCGATCCAAAGCCAGGAGCCAAGAGCCTCCTCCGGGTCTCCCATGTGGGGCCCAAGGACTTGGGCCATCTTCTACTGCCCTTCATAGCCCTCCACTGCCCTCTACTGCTAGGCCATAGCAGAGAGCTGAATTGGAAGTGGAGCAGCCGGGTCTCCAACTGGTGCCCATATGGGATGCCGGTGCCTCAGGCCAGGGCTTCAACCCGCAGTGCCACAGCGGTGGCTCCAAGATAGGTTTTAAAATTAAGACAACTTTCAGGAATTTGAAATACAATGATACAAATACCCTTAACACCCCTCAGCAAGCGTGGTGGGATTTTGTTTTTCTTAATTGGCATACAATGGTTATAAATATCTATATGTTTCTAGACTTATTCTCCATATATGTATACTATGTGTAATGATCAAATTAGAGAAATTAGCATTTACATAACCTCAGACATTTCTTTGTGTGGTGAATACTGAAAATCCTCTTCTAGCTATTATGAAATATCTAGTACATTGCTAACCACATTCCCTCTACTGTGTTGTAGGACAAGAATTTACCCCCTTTTCTCTCATGTTGGTATTTTGGCACCTGTTATCCATCCTTTGCCTACCCCACCCCCCTCTTAACCATCACAGCTTCTGACCACAGATGTTGTGCTGTCTACCTCGATGAGATAACCTTCTTTAGCTCACACACTCATATGAGTGGAAGCATGTGGGGTCTGTCATTCTGTACCTGGCTTATTTTGCTTCTTAACACAGTGCCGTCCAGGCTCATCCATATTGCCAAAGGACAGGATTTCATTTTTTATGGCTGAATAATATTCCATTGTACACACATGCCATGCTTTCTTGATCCACTCATCTGTTGACAGACATCTAGGTTGGTTCCATATCTTCATTATTGTGAAAAGTGCTGCAGCAAGCATGAGGGTACAAATCTCTCTTCCACACCTTTCCTGTGTGTGTATATCCTGTGGGGGGATTGCTGACTTAGGTGGTAGTTCTAATTTGCTGAAAACCTTCATACTAGGACCTGGCACTGTGGCATAGCAAGTAAAGCCACTGCCTGCAGTGCCGGCATCCCATATGGATGCTAGTTCGAATCCCAGCTGCTCCTCTTCCAATCCAGCTTGGGCCAATGCAGCCATTTGGGGAGTGAACCAGCAGATGGAAGATCCTCCCCCCCCACCGCTCTGCCTCTCTGTAACTCTGCTTTTCAAATAAATAAATAGAAAAAGAAAAGAAAACTTTCATACTGTTTTCCATAATAGTGTCACTAATTTTTTAAAATTTTTTAAAAGATTTATTTATTTATTTGAAAGTCAGAGTTACACAGGGAGAGGAGACACAAACACACACACAGAAAGAGAGAGAGAGGTCTTCCATCCAATGGTTCACTCCTCAATTGGCCACAACAGCCAGAGCTGTGCCGATCCGAAGCCAGGAGCCAGGAGCTTCTTCTAGGCCTCCCAAGCAGGTGCAGGGGCCTAAGGACTTGGGCCATCTTCTACTGCTTTCCCAGGCCATAGCAGAGAGCTGGATCAGAAGTGGAGCAACCAGGACAGGAAGCAGTGCTCATATGGGATGCTGGCACTGCAGGCGGTGGCTTTACCTGCTATGCCACAGTGCCAGCCCCTTGTTACTTATACTTTTGAGTTCTTATCAAAAATTTTTGTCTATACCAATGTGAAGTGTTTCCCTTATATTTTCTTTTAGTTGATTCCTAGTTTCAGATCTTACCTTTAGACCTAAGATTCATTTTGAGTGGACTTTTGTATATGGTGAGAGAGACCTAGTTTTATTCTTCTGCATATGTCTATATAGTTTCTCCAGTACCACTTATTGAAGAGGTTATACTTTCTCCAATGTATGTTCTTGGTGTCTTTGTCAAAAATAAATTGGCTGGGGCTGGCACTGTGGCATAGCAGGTAGGACCTCCACCTGCGGTGCCGGTATCCCATATGGGTGCCAGTTCGAGTCCGGGCTGCTCCACTTCCCATCCAGCTCTCTGTTATTGCCTGGGAAAGCAGTAGAAGATGGTCCAAGTCCTTGGGTCCCTGCAACCATATGGGAGACCCACAAAAAGCTCCTGGCTCCTGGCTTTGGATCAGCTCACCTCCAGCCATTGCGGCCATCTGGGGAGTGAACCGGCCCATGAAGATCTCTCTCTATGCCTCTGTCTCGCTGTAACTCTGCCTTTCAAATAAATAAATAAATCTTTAAAAATAACTTAAAAAATAAATTGGCTGGGATTGGGGTTTGGCACTGTGGTTAGGGTGCTGGTTTGGATGCTGCATCCCGTGGGTTAAGAGTGCCTGGGTTCAAACCTTGGCTCTGCTTCTTATCCCAGGTTTCTGCTAATGTATATCCTGGGAGGTAGCCAGGGATGGCTCAAGTGCTTGGGTTTCTGCCACCTACATGAGAAACTTAGACTGAGTTCCAGGCTTGCGGCTTTGACCTGGCCCAGCCCTGGCTGTTGCGAGCATTTGGCGAGTAAACCACCTTTCTTTTTTTGGCTGATTGGGTCATTTCAAATCACCTGTCTTCAAGTTCAGAAATTCTTTTGCTTGATCTAGTCTGTTATTTAAGTTTTCAACTTGATTATTTATTTCATTTGTTGAATTCTCTAACTACAAGTTCGGTTTGTAATATCTACCTCTGTTTTTTCATTCAGATCATGAAATATTTTCCTGATTTTGTTAAATTGTCTGTATATGTTCTCTTGTATCTCACCAATTTTCTTCAATATTTTTAATTCCTTTTCAAGAATTTAGCAGATATTCTTTTATTTGTTGCCTGCTAAGGAAAGTTTTGCTCCTTTGAAGTTGTCATGTTACCCTGCTTTTTCATGTAGCTGGTGGAAGATTTGTCTGTATGAACTATAATGGGTGGTTTTTATACCAAGTCATCCTACCAGGGATGGGACCCAGGGTGTCAGATGGGTGGCGTACATGGCCTTTAGTCCTGTGTGGGTGCAACTGTGAATTCTCTGGGTAGCTTCTTCACCAGAAATCAACATCAGTGATGTGTCTGTGTGCCTCAGTGCCTGAGAGGCAGGGCTTTGTGGGGTGGTTGGTCAACTGGGATACAAGCTTCCTAAAGGCAGGGTGGATTAAGCACAGAAGTGGGTCTCCTGTCTATGGTGCAGGCTGTACATGGACGTAGTTTTAAGATGGCACCTTGCAGCAGCAGCCTGGGTGGGCAGGGCCAGCATCTTCTGCAGCAATGCACCAGTGTGAACTACCTGGAAGTGCCCTAAATAAGCTCAGAGTCTGTGAGGGCCATAGCCTTCTCCAGCAGCAAAGACTTCAGGTGTCTACGCCATTAATGAGGGCTGCTGGGGGCTTCCCTCTTCTATTTTTCCTGCTGTGAGAAGTTCCAAGCTGCCCCCTCCTGGTGAGATTGGGTAACAGATGCAAACTGCTGTTTCTTTACAAGGCCATCTTGAGTCTCTGTGCCTCACAGCGCCTGCACTGCATTCCCACTCCATCCAGGGCTCTCTCTCAAATACTCCAGTTGAATACTCCTTGTTTATTTAAAAAAAAAATAGATTTATTTGTTTGGAAGGCAGAGTGACGGGATAGGGAGTGGGGAGGGAGAGAAAGAGAGAAACTTCTATTTACTAGTTTACACTCCAAATGGGCACACCAGCCAGGACTGGTCTAGGCTGAAACCAAGACCAGGAGCTCCATCCAGGTCTCCCACGTGAGTGACAGGGGCCAAGCACCTGAACATCTCCTGCTGCTTTCCCAGCTGCCTTAGTAGGAAGCTGGATCAGAAGCAGAGTAGCCAGGACTCGAACTAGTACTCTCATACAGGATATAGGCATTCACAACTATATAGAGGGTCACAACTCCAGCCCGTTTTTAATCTTTCAATCATTTTTTCCATGAGAGGGAAGCACATCAGGCCGCTCTTGTCAATTATCTTGCTGGTGTCAATCCTGTAACAGTATCTTAATGTGTATAATCAAACATCAATATAATCAAACATTAAGTGGATAAAGACTTCTGGAATTTCAGAAGTGTGCTTAAGGGTTTGTGGACCAATTTCCAAATACTGATTGCAAAGAAGAATTCCATTTCAAATGTCAGTTGTGAGTGTTTTTGGCATTTTGTACCTGTTCTTGATCAGCCAGTATTTATTGTTTTTTGATCCTACTTCTTCAAAGCCATAGCCAACCACCAGAACAGCGTGATTGACATTTTCGCTGCTGCATTTTGGATCATAATAAATGCCTGTAGGAGTAAAGTGAATACTGGGGTGACAGCAGCCCACACGGTCACCCACAGAAATGAACCCACAGAAGAATCACTCATAGTAAGGAGCCCACATAACCACCCACAGTAAGGGAAGTATCTCTAAATTCAGTGAAATGACATAAAGTCTAAATAAGATGTAGAAATAGGATCATTTTTGTCAAGGTTAAGGGTTTAACACCTAAAACCAGCAGAATTGTATCTATTAGCATAATCCCACATGTAAGCGACTTGCCAAGACCACCCTGTGGAACTCTGCAACTCTACTGGGAAGATGTCCGCCCAAAGAAGCACCAACAGGACTCAAGATTACTTAAGTCAAGTGGTTCTTTCCAGTTTTCATAAGAGAATTAAAAATCTTTGGGAAAACTTGAAAATCCCAGCAACTGGAGTAAAGGTAAGTATATTATACAATCCCAGACCGTTTGGAAAGGTCTCTGATGTACTTAGTATCATGAAGATACGCTGATGGCGGGTCAAATGGAACTTCCGGTTTACGTGTTGTATGTACAGAATGAACAGTTGCTTTTTAATTCAGACTCCTGATAGCTACACTGAATTCTACATGAAAAGAGTCAGGCATGCTGGTTTGTTGCACCGGTTTTCCAGGGCTTTTGCCTGAAAGTTCTACAAAGACAGATGCTTACCTCCTTCATAGAACAGGAAGGACTCAGGTGTCGTAGCAATACCCACGGAGACAGGTCCGACCGTTGCCACTGCCTCCATCAGGGCCTTCTCGTCCTTAGAGACGTCCACAAAGCCAGTGACATTGGCCGCAGAAAACCTGGGATTGTATTTACAGGATCCTTTCTTAAAGGAAAGGGGGAAGAGACTTGATTACTACCAGCTACCTCCCGGTGACTTTGGGTTCTTGACCACACAACTCAGCAGTTTGCAGCTAAATGATCTGCAAGGAAACCTCCTTCAAAGAATCCCAGGGAATGAAATAATGGTTGGCTGGCTTGAAAGTGAAAGCTTCGTTGCTCTCTCCTCCTAGGTCTGTCTATCTGTCCAGAAGAAACTTTTCCTACGGAGAAGCACGCATCAGGTGCGGAACTGTACGCGTGTTCTCCATGCAGCATGCAACACCTGTGTGTTAACCAACTAATCAGAGAACTGCATGAAGGCTGATGGTCTGTGACAGTTCTGCTAGTTTGCAGGGATAGATCTCACCACCTAAAATGGGAAAGCCGAGACGGGTGTCTTGTTATCTCTCTGAAAGCACTCCATTTCCCATCAGCCAAGTTGGAATGATAATGGTAGAAGGGAGTCCACGTACCCTTTGTTCATACGGATAGGATTCTTCCGAGTCCAAGCCTCTGTTGTCCTTAACGTACTGGAAGGCGTAGTCCATGAGGCCACCACTACAGCCCTGGTTGCCCTGAGGCCAGGAGCAGTCCACGAGGTTCTGCTCGCTCAGGGACACGAGCCGGCCAGTCTTCCGGAACATCTGCCCTTCGAGGGCTCCAGTGGCACTGAAAGCCCATGAAGAACCACACAATTCCTGAAAACGCAAGCATCTGTCATCTACCAAACAGATAGCAAGACGTGTGCTACGTCGGCCAGTGTATTTGAACTGCATGTTGCCTACGGACTAGCAAAGCAGTGAGGTGGATCCCTTTTTGGCTTTCCCGGGAGGTGGAAGGTCTGGCTCCCGCCCTGTCATACCTGATTCTTCACGGGAGTCACATAGCCTCTCTCTCTCCAATCCAAAAACGCAGGGATCTTAAATAGGAGGGAATTATGGAATTCTTCCCCCCTTTTGTGATTCTGGTTTTCAAAGCCGTTCATCATCAGCCTGAATTCTTCATTGGTCTTCAAGGAACGGTAAACAAAACATTGAAAAAGGGACAGGTTACTCTGGTAAAGAGTCAGGGAGAGGAGGCGCGGGGTCACGGGATCCACAGCACACTCACCATGTCGCCGTAGGCGTTCATCGCCATGGTGAAGCCATGTTTCCCTTGGCTGTACTCCCTGTTGTGCTTTTCAATCATTTGCATGTTCTTCTCCCACACGGCTCTCCTCCATTCTTCTTCTCTCTAGAGGCAGTCACACAATGATGGACGTTATTTCTACTTAACACCCAACCCCCTGTGACCAGACAGACATGCAGATAGGGATGGAAGAGAAACCACAGTCAGGGATGACTTTCTACTTTTGGGAGCTGTTCTCCACGCTCCAACTAACAGGGATGTCTGTCCATATCCTGCAGTAACCCTTGGGCACTCTCTTGGGAAAAGCTGGCCTCTATAAGCTACTCTCTGGCCATAGACTCCCGGTAAGGAAGATCATTCTCTCCAGGGTCTCTCTGCACGGTTTCAAATGTTACCAACCACGCCATATCGTCTTTTGTGTGCTGCCAGCCACTGGCGCCATCGTGTATCCAAACTGTGATCAGGTGTTGGAGCAGCTGAGATCATGCCAGAGCAGAGGACTGCTAGGAAGAGTGGCAGATGCATCGTTCAGAAATCTAGGAAGGGAAGAGCCGCGCGTGTCTGATTAGATCACTCCTTCCAATGAGTCCTCTCGCTCTCTTCTGCCTAATGACCACCATCATAGCAGAATAAAAACGTTTAAATTGTGTTTAGTATTTACCCAAGAACCGTGGAAGAGACTAGGAGAGTGGTTGGAGAAAAAGAGACCATAAGGCAAAAGTCAGGGCACTCCCCGTAATGCCTTCCAGGGGGCTCCTAGCTCAGCTACCGGGAGGTCCTCCACATACTCCGGCCATTGGCCGCCGTCCGGGAGTCTGGAGGGACCAGCATCAAGGCACGACTTTCAGGAATCCAGCTTCCCTGTCTGCCCTGGTTAGGCCCCAAAACGCGCAGCCAGAGACCCCCGAAACTCCATCTGGAGCTTTCTCTCAGGAAGCCGCAGCCGCGCAGGCCAGGCGGGCAAGCCCACCGTCCAAGGTCTCAGAGGTTGGCGGTTGTGATCCCAAAGCTGCCGATTTGGCCCAGAGAGTCCCACCCCCCCTCCGCCTACCCATTCAGCGATTGGCTGCTCCGGCCGGTGGGCGGGACCTCTGTGCGCTCTCTGCCTCCCGGCGCGCGTTAGGCTGTTGGGACCGAGGCAGCCCCAGTGCTGGCCGCAGGTGGATTGCGGAGGGTCCCTCGTGGGCAGCGCAGAGGAGAGTCCAGGTCAAACTGAGCACCCTGGCTTTACTGGGCTCTGGGGCGTGGCTCAAGAACATAAGCTCACAGCCTGACCCCGGTGTTCCTCCAGGCCCAGAGTTCTGGGTTCAGCATCCTGTGGAAGTCACAGCCAAGGTGTAGCCTGCAGGTGGACAAGCCCCAGGTTCACGGCCGGCTGCGGCTGGCCTCAGAAGAGCCTGGAAAGGGACAGGCAGGTCCCAGACTCGTGGTGCGATAGTCAGGCCGCTTCCTCCGGGTTCACTCTCGCCTAGAGGATGCTGGTCTTTCTGTTCTTTTCAAATCTTCAACTGGGATAAATCCCTCTGCTTTAGCCCTCTGGTTTATCCCATCCCAAACCACCCCAACAGTAACACCCAGCTCGCTATTTGACTGCATATCTGGACATAAAATTAACCGCCATACGGTGAACCACCACATCTGTGTGTTATGCCTCTGTGTAGACTTTCAACCCTCGTTAATAGGTCTGTGCAGATGTTGTAACAAGACGTCCTTCTCTACCCCGTCTCTGGAAGATTGAGCGCTAGGGGAATTGGCAGGGCCAGTGTAGTGGTGTTCAGGTCGTTGAGGTCATTTATCCCTCCCCCAAATAGCCACTCCTTTCAATATGTTTCCATTTCACAGAGCTCAGAGTTATTATCATAAAAACATTATCCAGAAAAGTGTCCATCATTGTACATACATTGCACAGTAATTGTTAATAAATGCTTATTCAAAATCGCTTATGAAATAAATGAATTTCCTTAGTTTCAATAACTCTGTTTTCCTTAAGTGTTAATCAGTCCACCAATATATATATTAAATAATCAACCAATAAGAATTAATGAAACTTGGGCCAGAGTTGTGGCCCAGTGGGTTAAGCTGATGCCTGAAACACTGGCATCCCATATGAGCACCATTTAGAATTCCAGCTGCTCCACTTCTGACCCAGCTCCTTGCTAATCTGCCTGGGAAAGCAGCATAAGATGGCCCAAGTGCTTGGGCCCCAGCCACTCACATGGGAGTGTGACCCAGATGGAGTTCCAGGCTCCTGGTTTCACAATAGTGGCCATTTGGGGAGTGAACCAGCAGATGGAAATACCCCCCCACCCCCTCTGCTCTCTTCACTCCCTCTCTTCTTTCTCTCTCTCCTCTGTAATTCTACTTTTTTTTTTTTTTTTTTTTTGAGATTTAGTTATTTATTTGAAAGGCGGAGTTACAGAGAGGCAGGAGCTGGGCCAGAAGCCAGGAGCCAGGTGCTTCTTCCAGGCCTCCCACATGGGTTCAGGGGCCCAAGGACTTGGGGCATCTTCTACTGCTTTCCCAGGCCATAGCAGAGAGCTGAATTGGAAGTGGAACAGCGGGACTTGAACTGGTACCCATATGGAATGATGGCCCTGCAGGTGGTCCCAACTCTACCTTTCAAACAATAAATACATATAAAAAGGGGAATTAGTGAAACTTTAACTTTGTCCTTGGATTGGTGGTTATATATTAGGCATTTCCTAAGAAAAATCTACATGTAACTTTCCTGGTGGATTTTTTTTTAGCATTCAGTCTTTCAGTTTTAAACCATAACAGTATGACAGAATGTTGCTTTTACAGAAAAATGGCACAGAACAAGACAGATGTATGTAACCGAAATTGTGGCAAACGTCTTGGGGCAGTAGGTGACAAGATGATCTTGTGACATTTCTCCCACATTCCTCATCCTCACCCCAAGTCTACAATCCATGAGCTGTCCTTTGGAACATGGAAGATATCTTACACACACAGCACACAGCACACACACACAGCACACACAAAACATGGTATTTTTCATTCTTACAGTAGAGATCGAAATCAACAAAAATTTTGGAGTAAGGAACTCCAGCTACAGTCAGAATCCACTTTTCCTGAATTCTCCGTATTAGCCAAGGGCTGCAGCAACCTGGCAGACGCTTATTCAAGACACGCTACTGACTTACAGTGGGTTTTATGCTGTTTGCTCTTTCCCCAGTCCCATTCCTACTCCCCAGAAAGGCAGCAACTTTAAGGTAGCTGGGAAGGTGATGGAGCCAGACTGGCCTACAGCTGAGCTGTCTGGTGGATCCCTGGAAGACCACCTTAAAAGGCTTCTCTTTATTTTGCTTTTCTTGAAAATGAACACCTTTGGAGCTGTTTCACTAAGTGACCTTTCTTATTTTTAGATCATATTCTCTAGAAAAAAAAATACAGGCTGACGTCTTAGGCTGCGGCTGCCTGGGGTGACTTATGCCAGTTTGGGTAAGCAGAAGGTTGGGAAGAAAGACTGGGGAATATGCCTGTATAAGAGCTTTTCAAACTTTGATATATTTTGTGGAATCCAGAGGACCATATGCAAATTCAGGGCTGTTTGCATGCCTTCCATGGCCTTGCTCTCTCCTCCATACCCCACCCTCCATTTCTGGGGACCGCAACACCTCCCTCTCGGTGGCAGCAGTGCAAGGAAGTGCTGGGCAGCGCCGGTGCCTCTTCTCTGCAGCCTGGACTTCCTCATCCGATCGTGTGACAGCAGCCACACAGGATTCTTGGGGGCATCAGTGAGGAACATGAGTGACAGTGGCGGCGTATGCTGGCAGGTGTCCCACCCAAGGTAGGTCACAGCTGCAGCCAGGAAACACGTGGGGCTGCGAGGCACCAGCTGCCTGTGATGGAGGCAGGGGTGGGGCTGCCGGGGCCAGGAGGAAGATGGAAGTGCTGATGTCGAAGTTCAAGGTGGACTGAGGTGCTGTGGTGGGGCGGGGGGAAGGGAGGGAAGTGCTCCGGGGGCGGCCCCGGCACACAGGGCTTCCTCTACAGCACAGACAACAGGGGAGAATCCCAGCCACCAGTGGGTAACCCTGTTACAGCAGCACTTTGCTAGCCTTTGTGCTCATGGATGGTGGACATGCTGGCAGCTGTCCCAGCCTTGTTCTCCCCTAGTAGTGCTTTCTCTCCTAACCTGCTGAGATCTGAGGTTAGAGGAGGAAGCCACAACGGCGATGACTTCCTGTTCCGCAGGTCACCACCCACAGCCGTGACCTCAACCCTAGCTGCCTGATGCGTACCGTGGAGTTAGGAGGGTCACTCGTATGGCCCAGCAGCTCGCTGACGTGATTTTCAGAAATGACAGGCTCACAGGGAGATGTGAGCAAGGTGGTGGGATAAAGGGGTCACCCAACTCGTATCCAGGGAACTTCCGTACCCAGCCATGGATAAAGTCGCTCTGTGGGAACCCGTGAAACCCCAGTGGGGGTCTAAGATCCGGGAGGACCATTATGGGTATGCAGGTGCACAGCCAGGCAGCACACCTGTCACTCATTGTCTTGGGTTCAAATGCAGAGACGGGGCCAACCAGTTTGGCTATGGCCCTGTTGGCCATGAACTGCCGACAAAACCCGTGTACCTGGGGGCCCAGCCCTTCTTATTGCAGGTGGGGAACTATCAACGTGTGCAGGCAACTCCTGGGCACGTGCTCATCTGGGGCGCTGGGAAAAGCATCAGAGCCTGGGACTCTGGTCGGTTTTCTCACACAGGCTCTGTACCTTTTTGGGACATCATAAAGTCCTTTGGTGCTCCACCAATCACACCACCATTGTGGCCTTCATAGGGACTTTGGGCTTTTGGCGCCCCCTAGTGCTGAGAAGGCTACAGTTGCCAGGAGTTGAAAGAGTTGTCCAGGGGCTAGTGTTGTGGCTTGGTGGGTAAAGCCATCGCCTGTGACACCTGCTTCTCATAGGGGTGCTGGTTCTTGTCCCAGGTGCTCCACTTCTGATCCAGCTCCCTGCTGATGGCCTGAGAAAAGCACCAGAGAATGGCCCACGTGTTTGGGCCCCTGCACCCATGTGGGAGACCATGGTTTGGTGGTGAGGGCGGTCACATTATTACGGCTAATGTCTGTGCCAAAGATCCGGAACAGGGCCAGGGACAGCTTGTATATTTGCATACTGAAACCCCATGTGAAGGAAAGTCACTGTGAAGAAAACTCCTCCGTCACCTTGGATAAATGGTAGGAGGATTCAGAAAATTCATTATTGCAGTTTGCAGCCTGAAGGAGCAGAATCCTGGCCAAGCCTCCCCTTGGACTAAATGTGGGAGTGAGCACAAAGTGTCCCCAGGCATTCTTCACCCCTAAATATGGTTTTATGGGCTGGCAGTGCTGGCATCCCATGTGGGTGCTGGTTCGAGCCCCGGCTGCTCCACTTCCGATCCAGCTCTCTGCTGTGGCCTGGGATAACAGTGGAAAATGGTCCAAGTCCTTGAGCCCCTGCACGCACGTGGGAGACTCGGAGGGAGCTCCTGGCTTCAGATCAGTGCAGCTCCAGCCATTGCAGCCAACTGGGGAGTGAACCAGCGGATGGCAGACCTCTCTCTCTCTCTCTTTCTCTCTCCCTCTACCTCTGCCTTTCAAATAAATAAATAAATCTTTTTTAAAAATCATGGCTTTATGGCCCCACATGGATCCAGATTTTGTGTCACAAGACAGTAAACTAAGAAGATGGAAATTATGTGGAGTTGTTCTAGATCCCAGAATTTTTTCCATAGGTGGCTCAGCCTATGGGAGAAACAGTATCTTTTTCACACAAGATCATTATGTCTTTTTCCTCATGTAGGCTGTGACTTTGTTCTAAGAAGGATGCTCCAGTACTGGGTACAAGGATACCATTGTTAGCTAGATTCATTTTTTTATAACCACAAATCCTCTGAGTGCTGGTAGAGATTTCAATTCTGCTTTGTGCTAACGTAGACAAATATGAAGACCCAGTAATTCCTGATTTAGAGACACGGAAGGAATTGCCCAATTAAGGAACTAACACTGGGAATGTCGGCTAAAT